AAGTTACGCCATCGCCGCTGACCTATGTGCTCAACTCTCTGAATTATGCATGTTGATTATACCACACAGTCGTCTGAATTGTAAATTCTCACAATTATGCGACCCATTGTCTATTCATTATTTCAAAAGAATAGGAAATTATGTAAAACTACCTCTAAAGAGGAGAGCAGCGTGTAATATGACTTGCCATATTGTTCATGCAATTCAAATACTTTTAGCTTTTTCTGAGAGTTGAAAGCAATCAGATTTAAATTATATCCGACTTTGCGTGTCGCTGGGGATTATGATAAAGTCGCGGGATAAGCTATGATAACTACACTACATGCCATAAGGTGTGTGCACTCAGGCAGAGGCTGTTTTCCAATTAGCTCAAACCTCCTTCAAGGTTAAACAGGAAAGGGAATGACTGGGAGCTGAGCTCATCAGGCGTTGACCACATCATAAGAATCTACTTAGCAATAGTCATACATGATGGCTGCATTTTTCTGGCCTCCTATCAAAACAATAACTTTGTTTTAAAGAAAACAACAATCAAAAACTGGAATTAATAAAAAGATGCATTTTATTTAAACAAAGAGAAAATAGGGTTTAAGGTATAGCTAGTTTAGGGAAATCAATTTTTAGTATCAGACAGTCTTTATGTTGACATTTTAGCACATGTGTTATCCTTCTGCCCTAATTTTGAAGTATTTGTAAACACCCTTTTCTACCGACTGTTGCAGCGGTATGGTCACTTGAAATCACTTACTTCCTATTTTTCATATATAAGCAAATTTACCAATGTAAGTTTATACTTTGCTTTGTTTTTTGCATTGAGATTTCCTTTTTGTTTAAACCTCTTTGATTAGATAAATTAATCGAGCCTATATTCTGTTAATCCTTTAGCACTTAAAACATAAAACCAACACACTATGCAAAGGCAACTTACTGAAAAAAATATTAAATAATTTTATAGATTGGCAAAACCTTTTTCCTTTTTTTTTTTTTTTTTAAACATTCCCAAGAAAATGAGATGCAATAGCAAGCATGCCTCCTTTTTAGTTTTATATGATCGCAGCAATCTTTAATTGGAATAACAGCCGTCATATATATATATATATATATATATATATATATATATATATATATATATATATATATATATATATATATATATATATATATATATATATATATATATATATATATATATATATATATGTATATGCTTATACAAATTAAAATTTTTAGCTACCATATGTTTTCATTTTTATTTATTTATTTTATTTTATTTATTTTCTGTGTTAGCAATATTTATGTGTTTGCAGCTGTTTATATTTGCAGTACTTTTTGTATTTGCTGCGCATTTATTTATTTTCAGTCTATTTAAAATGAATGATGCCTGTTCAAATAAGGACCCGTCTCCCTGTAGGAACAAATAATTGAATGAATGAAATTAGTAAATATAATTACTGATAGGTTACTTTGAGGTGTCTGTGATCAGACTGACCTCAACCACAGATTATGTTAATTAGTCTGAATCAGCCTTAAACCACAGAAAAATTTTTACTTCACTCCATGTATTTTTGTAATGAAATATATATATATATATGTATTGTAAATGTAAACAAATAAGTGATTCCCCCTACATGGTTTATGAGTTTTCTCTCATGAATGGCTACTGCCATCCCATCAGAAAGCAGGACTTTTCTCCTCTAATTTTTAATGTGTGAAGGATTTTGCAGTAAAACCACTTCCTCCTGTCCAGCTTCGTCCTTCCTTCCCCTGCTCCTCATCTAGCTTCTCTGGAAGTGTTACCCTTTCATCCTCTATCTTTCCTCATCCGCTATTCTTCTCCTCACCTCCTGCTGCACTCCATCCCTCTGCTGAGCACAGGTATTTGTTTAGGAATCTCTCGGTGGAAATTATACTCCATCTCCGGCGCTCCCTATCAACACACAATTATCATGGGCAATCATGCAGAACAGTGCTGAATTCAGCTGGGACTCCCACTCTGATGACATTACCGACTGCAAGGCCCCACTTCTCCAGCAGCCAGGCTGCTCAGCTCATGCATTATACCTCCACCTTTTACTCATTTCTCCCTCCTAATCATCCTGTATTACTTGGGTATGCTTGAAGAAATTAGTCACATGTTTTCTATTAATCAAATTAGGATTTTATTTAAATCAAGAGGTCCAAAATGTAAGAAATATTTTTTTTTTTATAGAAGTGACTTGTATGGAAGGACAACTCTCACCTCAAACAGGACAAATCCAGTGATCTTATCTTACATTTTATTGCCATTTGTCCACCTGATCTGTAGAGGTTGGATTCTCACATGGCTCAGCTGAAGATGATGCAGAACAGAACGAAGGGCAGTAATTACAAAGAAAATCTCAAAAATGTAAAAGTGGAAACTTCCATCATTTGGGGCTTTTGTGTGGGGTAAAGTCAGTTTCACAAAAATAATCAGCACCTAGCCTTGTGTCACTCCCTCCAGCATTCTGAGGCAAACTGCAGATGCATTTCCCCGCCTGTGATAAGTACATTATAAGTCTTGAAAGGCACAGAGTTGATGCAGACGCACACGAATCAACACAGGAGTACATTCAGATCCTGATCAAATGCTCCATTCATGAGTGAAATTACCATAGTCTGTCAAGCCAAGGTGTGAATTCTTTCATCTACAGATCTGAGCTCTGAAGTTGTAATTAAATGCATAACGCCACATACTCTCCACACAGGCCTCAGATTGGCAAAATGGGATTTCTCCCTCTCCCTCTGAAGGCCAACATATGGAAACTCCTACGAAAGCACTGCCATCTGGTGGTCTATCACTTCTCTTACTTTTTTGATATCACCATATTTCAGGCAAGGGCCTCTTTTTTGTAATATTAAATCTCAAGTGAGCTTCCTTTATGACTTAGAACATCATAAGAAAATTGGAAAATGTCATGGTTTTCAAAAATATATGAAAGACATTATAAAGGTTTGATCATTGATATAATAGTTTTCTTTTTAAGAGCTTGTGGGTTTTTGCTGTAATTTTTTATATATTTCTTAAAGATGGTGGGTATCCACTTTTCCCTAGTCTGATTGGAAAACTAGTTTCAGATTACTCTGTTTACACTAAATAAAAAGGAGATTTATGCACATCTCTTATTGTTAGATATGTATTGCTGATAATCCTATTGTAGCCAATAAATCCTGCTCTAGACTTTAATGGAATTTATTTCTGGCTCATTAATAAGATGGTTTCCAAACTTATCAGCTTACAATCCACCAAATATTTGTAGAGAATATTTTTTTCTCTGCTCCTTCAAATTTTGGTCCTGAGACCATCCTGTCTTGGAGGTCGCCAGACCATGCTCATATGCACATTTTTAATTGACAACATTTTTTTATTTTTCCATTGGGACAAACTATTTGCACCCAAACTTTGACATCTTCTAAATTCTTGAGATGGTGCTTAGAAAAATAGATGACATCTTGAGAAAAGTTGGTTTTGTTCTGTTTCTGAGAGGTGCAGCAAACAACCCCCAACAACATGATAGTGCCACCCCATAGTTAAGATAGTATTAAGAGCAATGCAATGTTCCTCGTTTTAGAAATGTCTATTAAGGCAAAACGCCTCAGTCTTATGTCATACATGTATTTCAAACTATAATCTGCCATATTTTTGAGCAACGGCTTCTTTCTTGACTTCTTCTTTTGAGATGATGTCCAAATGGTACTGATTTAACTTTGGATGGTGACTATTTTCCTTGCATTAGCCAGCATCTTCACAGACCATTTACTGTTACTTTGGAAATTATACTTTTACCACCAAAACATGTCGATTTTTATGGAAACAAACCACCGAAAATTAATATATCCTGTCGGAACAGAAAAGTTGCTGTACAGCCCATGGAGTTTGTATCTCTGTGTAAATGTTTGAATAGTGAGTATAAAGCTTTCAAGCATTAGGTAGTTGTTTCAAAAAGTTTAAGCAGGTTTGTGGTGGTCCACAATTCACTTCTTTGTGTCTTTGCGGAATTTTCTTTAGACTATTTTCAAAAATCTCAAACAAGGTGGAACCGTTTATGAGGTATTGCATTGAAATACATTTTCAGCTGAGCCTTCAGTGAATTTAGGCATGGTAAACTAACTGATCAGATCCATGAAAATCCATGATATCACAATCAGGGTTTTTCTATATTGATCAAATGAAGTATTTGTGAATGTCAATTTGAGAAATTAAGTAATAAAAAAATATTATATTTGGCATTAGGCAAATATACATATATTTTTGTAATCATAACTTGCAAATGGGAAATAATTAGTCTGAAATTATATAAGCCAATAGAATGAAAGTGTATTTTTACATAGTTTTTTGCAGCCTTTCATAATTTGATTTTGTGGCAATAAAGCTGAAAACGGCTCTTTAGATTGTACCTCAACTTGGAGTCATTGGGGCTATAATCAGTGTTAGCAGAAATAAGGGCTTTTACCAATTTGTAATATTTGTTTCTGATCCAAGACTTTTAAGAGCGAAAATACATACAAGAAGTATTGATAGAAATAGATTTATAAGAACTGCACTGCCTATTGATTTGAAAACAGACACATAATTTAAAATCAATCCTTAGAACATTTTCTAAAAAAAAAAGAGAACTATTATTTAGTCCTGCAAATTTCTTCATATTGCTATTTAAACAGATTTTTTAAATAAAAGAACATATTTACATTTATACCGTAATTGTTTTTTAACACTAAACTCTCTTATTTAAGTAAACAGTAAAAAGTTTGACAACCATGATTGGTCCATAGCCCATAAATATGAAAAAAGAACACCTTTAAAAGCACAAATATGTAAAAGTCTGGGACTTAAAGGAAGCATGAACTTGTTACTTAACCACTCTACTTGAAAGTGGGTCTTTTTTTATTATTTACTTAACATTTATACATGCTGAAAAAAAGACTTATTTATTTATTTTGAGGATTATGATTTTTTAAGCCAAACAGGACACTGAAAGATATCCACTAACATAGAGCACACTTTTATTGGAGTGGCAATAACATTATTTGCAGCAAATAGTGTAAAACGGTGTCAACATAAAACTGTTGCTTCAGACAGGAGTCGCCCCAGACTTGCCCGGTGATGTCATCATATTTGAGTGATGTCACCAGAAAACTTTACCATTTTATCTTCATCATGAATCCCATGACTCTTCAGAAAATAATATAATAGATGCAAATAGACTTAAAATAATTTTCCATATTACATAGTCTATTAAAAGTTTTTCAGTGATGAAAAGCTGGACCAAAAGTAGCAATATATAACTTCAAACAAAGGCTACTTATAGCTCTGTGCATAAAGCAAACAGCACATCTCTTAAACAACCCAAGCTCTTTTACCTAATACTTTCTTATAATCACATGTTGAAGAAATCAGGTCTCACTTTAACCACACAGTTACACAAACCAACATGCTCCTTTACTGAAGCTCCTATAGACATTGTTGCTTAATACAGTCGCAAATACACAGCTAAAAATGCTTGGAAAATGTACGACAAGGATAATCCTAGACCAAGCCTCGGATACGTAATTCTATCAAATAAGAAATGCATACAGAAACGTATTCAATAAGTCCAAAATGAAGCTTCAATAAGTTGAATAATAATAATAATAAAAAAAAACACAATTCATACACAATCTGTATCATATTTAAAGTTACTTATGAGAGCCTTGAGCAAATGATTTTACAACTCTTAAAGACATAAATCTCAGTATTCCTTATTGGACAATTCTTATTATTTATATGACTGACTAACAAACATACTGTATAATAGAGAAGTGAAGAAGAAATATTGATTCCTGACATTTAAAATCTTCTAAATATAATAATCGAGAAGTATGTTATTCATTCATATTCAGCATTTAGACGTCAATAATTTGTAAAATCCCCTTTTGCTGCAATTACCTTGCAGATCCTACCTACCTCTATATGAATTCATATAGACTATTTAAGGGAAAATTGATTTTGTAATTTACTTCCATAAGCTCTCTTTGACTGGGCTAATGGAACAGATATTTGTCCTGATCTCAACCATCTTACTTTTAGAACAGGATCTAAGCTTGAAAATTAATTGTTTTCATCACTTTAAGTCTTGTATGTCTCCTAGGGATTATTTGTATTTTACAGGTTCCCTACAGCATAATCCTTTCAACTCCAATTTTATAGCACATAAAAAGCACACCACACTTTCTTTATTTTGTATTTTTAGAAATGCATTTCTCTTTCTTTGCATTTCACTTTTATGTACTAATCTGTGTTGGATATGTCACACAAAGATAAAAAACAGAAAAACAAAAAAAACGTATAAGTTTTAGGTTATAAGAGAAAACCTCAAAATTTTTAAGGGTATAGCTACTTTTCAAATGCACTCTTTCTCAGGCTGACTTCTATTAGCTCCACATAAGAAAACAAAACAAAATGTTTCTCTCAGATCAGTGTGTTCAAATTTAACAGATTAAAACAGAACGTCCAATTGACACAGCATCTTGCATGAGTAAAAACAGTAAGCTTTTCATTCAGTGGTGGATCCGAACAGTTCGACCAATGAGCAGAAAAAGCAGGCCCGCCAAGAAGGAGAAGAGGACGCCGATGGGGGCAAACACAAAGGACAGACCGTAGCTTAGGGTCAGTGTGAAGTCTGGACAATGGTGAGAGCGACTGTGTTCAATGTAGGTTTGGATCACATCCAGGGCCTGAAGCCACACCACATGCATCACCACAACACCCAGCAGGAAAAAACCTGTTGGTGAAGAAAAGAGGTGAGACTTGAATCTTGCAAAGTTTCATTCTAAGCATGGGTGTCTGGACACAATGGTCTGAACATAATACTCAATTCTAGCTCTGTAATGTTTTCACCTTTAAATCTAACTGGTTGACCTTTCCCAACAACCAGCCTTTGCTTCTCTGTCACCTTTAGCATATGGATGACCTCATTATTTATCCACAATGAACTAGTTTAGTAATTTAACGTCTTTCTCATCTTAGACTTAAAGACTTAGAGTTAGACTTTATTGTCATTTTGTACATACACAGTGTATACAAAACAAAATCTTAAAATCTAGGTTCACAAAGCCTAATTTTATATCCTGCATCAGTATATTATGTTTATCTCAGATATTACACAGGTAGTCCAAATTTTCTTAGGATTTTCTTTCTTCTGTCAACTTTTGCCATAAGTAGTTCAAAATTGAATATCTGGGTAATCAGTCACCTGTGATGGCTCCAGTGTTCGAAGACACAGAGACAACTAAACCTCAGCCATGTAAATGTGAATCAAAAGTGAGCTAAAAGTAAAAATAAAAAAAAAGAAGAAAGAAAAAAAACCCTGAAATGTTAGAACTGTAAATTTACAGTCATATGTTTGTATTATCGTTTTTATATATTTTTTTACTATTTTTCAAGGCTGAACTTAACAAAAAAAATGTCTCACTATTTAGCTTGAGTATTAGATAAAACTTGACCTTATTTTACCAACACAAAAATAAGAATAAGACATCTCTTTTTTTATAGCCATTATTGATTAGCTTGAAAGAGTAAATTAAACTGAAGATGGGTTAATTTATGCCAGGATACAAGTTTGATTTCTACTAATTCATGATCTTTAGAGAGTTATGCACATTAATACCTTTCCTGTTCATATTCACTCCAGGAAATGGCTTTTATTTTTTATACCCTGAATTAAACTCACCAGATGTCAAGAAGAGTCCACCTCCTGCTTTGTACAAGCAGTGGTTAGCAAATGGAGCCGCACAGATTATGAGGAACCCTCCGATAGCTACCGTCGCCACACTAATAAGCATGAAGACACTCCAGAAGCCTCTGTAAACTAAACAGATGAGATGTTAACCTGCTGCTCAGAACAGCTGCATCATTTCTTTAACTGTATAGATAGTACTTACTGATAGCTGAATTATCATCTGTTGTGTTGTTGGTAGGACTTTCCTGGGGGAATGGGTACAGGTAGGAAGGGTAGCAGGCTTTTACAAAATTCTTGTTTGCTGCAGAAAAAAAAAAAGATATCCACATATTTCTAAACCATAACTAATGGATGCATCAAACCAAGTTAACAGAAATTAGTTTTACTAATCTGATAACCTACAACAATTTATTTATTTATTTATTTTTTTACTTAAAGATATGCAACCTACTTTTCATTACCTAGTTGATGCTTTTCATAGTTATAACTTGTTTGAAATTCTGAAATTATAACTTCAGAGAGACTATTTTATTATCAGAGACCATGTCTGGTTATAGTTTCAATTTTCAAAGTCACCATTAAAAAAGCAGATGACACACAACCAGCTGAAAGGCAACATGAATAACATCACATGAAGCTGCCTCCTTCAACCAGTCACATGAGAAGTTAGGGGGAATTCTATTGACGATAACAGACTTAAATAATCTACTCCTACTCTGTAGGAACTGATGACACTTTTTAACCTCAGCTAAGGGTGACAAAGAAATAAGGCACACAATTTACCAACTTCTTATAAGATGATTTTACTTTAATTGGTCCTTTCAAGTAATCTACAGAAGAGTCTGTCGATTCTTTATCAAACTTGTTTTAACAGACAAGGCAAATTTATTCATATAGCACATTTTAGTAGCACAACAGTTCAAAGAGTTTTACCTGAGAAGAAAAGTACTTTGCAGTGGCATATAGGCAATACAAATAATTAAAAATAATAATGATAAATCATCAAAATACTCATATATAAAAGAATTAAATATCAGTAATTTTTCAGTAAGATCATTTAAATGTCTAAGGGTTTTTGGACACTAAGGTAAAATTAATCTGAAACAGGAGTAACCCCTCTTAACATTTCAAAAAGATGTAAGCTTAGTGATAAAAGAGGCTAGGTCTAACAAAAGAATTGTTGCTCACTCACAGAACACAACCGCTGCTGTTTTGTTTAAGTTGCTATCAAACATCTGTCCAAAGTAGCAAGTCCAGAAGAAACCAGAATGATATGAAATTGTATCACCGCCTTCGTCGTGCACCACATCTGCAGCTAGCTGAAAAAAAATGCACAAAAAGGTTGAAATTAAGGTATATAAAGAATATGTTTACGTATCTGCACTTCATAGTTTATACAGTGCCTCTTGAAAACTTTTAAAACACAATGCAATGGTTTTATTTACGGTTATCAGTACAAGATGTTTAGTACCAATGCACATCACATATTTCAGATTGTCATTATTATTTAAATTGTTATTTATTTATAATTTTTTTCAGTTTTTTTTTTTTTTTTTTTGCTGGTACATGTCTTCAAAACCCTGTATTTAATTTGTATTTTGTCGTCATGTTGAACTCATGAAATATGGTTGTAGCATTTGCTGCCACTCTGTCAGAGAGCAGCTGCTAAGGCAGGTCAAAGGTTGAGCTGAGCAAGGCTCATTAACCTCTGGTTGGTCTTTCTTGGTGCCAACTGAGCTCTCAGGATTTCATATATATTTAGCAGAAATAGTGAGAATGGTTTTCTCACTTTTGTTGTCACATAAAAAATAAATAAAAATAATTGTGGTGAACAAGCAATATTCAGTCATTTGAAAAAGATTATAGGTAGACATACTTAACATGTTAAGGCAGGTAGGTCCTCTGTGTCCTCAAAATATGTTCATATACACTGATCTACATCTTTAATTAATGTGAATAGAACTGGTGTTAAAGATTATTACAAAGTATAGCATAGAAGTAAAAATTTGCAAAAGCTTTTCTGACTTATGCTCTTTATATAATTTCAATTGAATTAAGTCTATAGCTTAACCTGGGGAATTCCAACATGCATCAATGTCTTGATTGAAAATATTTCCTTGTACTTCTGGCTGAATATGTAGGGTTTTTGCTACGCTGAAAGGCTAACCTCTGGATGTATTCTTCAACTATCACTCTAAATCCAGTTCTATCGATTTTTCCTCGTCATTCCTCCCAATGCATAATGCTGCCACCATCTTTCAAGAAGGTGTTGTCCTTTTATAAAATTACAAAAGCTTACGATTTCTGCAGTTTTCTCAGAGTTCAGTTCTTGTGCCATAAACCACAATAATAATTTTGGACATTACGAACCAATATCCATGCTTTATATTAAACATAACCATTGGTTTAGGAGGAATAAGATTTGCCTGCTGTTTGGACACTAAAGCTTCTGCAACCCTCCCCCGGCCCAAGACACTATCACAAGACTCTCCTATAGATTTGTACCTTTGCTTCCCATGGTGCCTTGATGTCAAAGCTACTGTCTTAGGCTTTTCTCTTACTCTTTAGCCTCTTTCCCACTGAAAATACCAGGTTAAAGAATTTTTTTCAAACATTGGATGACCTGCTACCAAACGGCATTTGGCTCTCTTCCCACTGGCAAAAAAAAGCTAGGTCTAACCACTAACTTGCAAACTACATGGCATCTGTCCTCCCTGTTGCTGTGTTCCTGCTGACTCTATCACACTGGGTTAGTGTTAATGATATCATCCGTGGAACGGGAATCAGGAAAGTAAACAATGGAGAGCAACATGTAAAGAAGCCCGTATATGCTTTATTGTTTTGCTCTTTTATCTGTCCTACTCCCTCTTACCAGTGCTGTGCGTTGTTTATCGAATATAAACAGATTTGTTTCAGCTCTGTAGATCAGACGTGACTGGCGGGGTGAGTTGATATCCGTATGTTGGGCTTAATGGCATCATGTAATTTAATGTTTCAACCCAGGTCTGGTGTTCCCACAGCATGTCGAACAAAGCTGAGGCGATTTTAACATGGGTCGCTTGCCAAGTCATTTGACCCGGTTAGACACACGTCAGTGAGCTGTTCCCACTGCCACTAAAACCGATTGTTACTGGGTTTAAACTGGTTTTTTGGCCAGTGGGAAAGGGGTATTTCAGAAGTGGTCAGTTCACATTGGAGACACCACTATGGCCCATGTCTAGGGGGCAGAGGCTGCATCTAACCATAGGCTAAGTGCAACTGATGGCTGACATTTAGAACACAACTTCTGCAAAACAGATGGTTTGCAATATTTCTCTTTGAGTTCAAACTTTCAGATGCTTGAAAAGGCTGGAGGAGGGGAGCCTCCCTTATGTGTGGTACATGGAGCAAAGCAAACCCCTAATGTGTGTGACCCACTGCTATGCTGCTAGATGCTGGAGAAAAAAAACTCAAATCTTCCAAAGGGGTCAGCAGAGGTAGAGGTCTTGCATATTTAGAAACAGATTTCCAATTAAACAATATGTCTTTTTGATTTATGATCATTTTCTGTTTTTACTGTTGGGTAAAGAGAAGTTAACTAAATGAAACAACATGTTTGAGCTCTTGCTTATAAAGCTAAAACAAGCTTTATTTAGCTAAGGGTTTAAACACTAATATAACATAATTGTTCAAAAGTTTTCTCATATGCTCATTAGAATTTGATTACCAAATATGATCAAAACTAATTTAATGAGAGTCCATGTTTACCAGCTATAAGGTCAATCAAAAAGATTAATCAAGTAAAGGTTATTGATTAAGCAAACTATCTAATAAAACTTTACTGATTGGATTTGCACTGTGAATTTGTTTGAACACATTCCAATTGCTCTAAATTAATCAAACGCTAATTTGATCACATTCAAAATTCTTCAAGATTATAAAATCAATGTTAAACTGAGATATAATTGTATCATCTCAGATGATTGTGGTTTTCAACCTTGTTTTTCCTTCTTTTTTTAGTCTAATTGAGTTCCACTAGTTTTAGTCAAGATTTTTACACAGAAATATGTTTTACTTAGAGGTGAAGGAATTCTGCTAATAAACTCATATTTTGGATGAAAGTGGTGGTGATTTTATTCCATATATGTGCAGAGTTATCTTTTTGACCATGATTTGAGCTCGATTCACACTTTCATTGTTGTTCTAACACACAGGCAGTAGGGCATATGTTCACAAACAGTATATGAGTCTATTATTATCTAATTAAAAAGCATATTTACTGGTTACAATATAGTGTTTAATGGGTATCTGGATAAAGAGGACTGAATATCAACAAATGTCTTAGTTTTATGATTTTAGTTTTTTTATTCCAAGGCAGTTTATACATTTGAATTCTATATTTGGTTCCCTTCCATGTCACATAAAATTCCAATCAAATAAATTTCAGTTTGCATTTGTAACAGCATAAATAAAATAAAATAAATCATGGTACAGTTATCTATCTTTTAAAGCTTAAAGCTTCATAAGTGACTAGACTTGTAATACATCTCCATGTAGCATGCATACCCAACGCCACATTGGTTTTATTGCCCTGTTGGCCAGTGTTGCTGTCACTACAAGCTCCCAGTGTGGAAGCAGGAAAGATAAGTATGTTCTACTCGGTGATATATAATACACCATCATACCTCTGTGACTACAGGGACTTGTATTTCTATCTTGGAGGCACATGGTACAAGCTCTGTCTAAATCACTGCATATCTGCACACACACTACATTAAACAGAGTCAGATTACATGAAGGGATCCCTCCCTCTACAGTCCAGCTGCTGAAAACGTAATCAGGACAGCTGATCACTGTCTTTAAGAGCAGATTTGTATATCTAGTTTAAAGTCGGTGGCTAGTTGAGCCGATAACTTTATTTTAATACAGTGACATAAATATAGAGAATATAAATATATATATAAATATGTATTTATATATAAAGAAAAATATCATGTTCTTGTTTAGGTAGTAGTGTCACTTTAATACTATTTGAGACATATTGAAATTATTTGATTTGAATCTGTTTAGAGTCCAGAACTCACCGTTATTGTCAGTCCTCCGTTGTCTTCAGAGTCTTTACTGTCTGGGCTGCAGGTTTCTGAGCCTATAAGCCAGTAATCAGTTCCAAAAGAAAGGAAGGTAAACACGGCTGCCAAAGCCCCAAAGACCCCAGCAAAACACAATGCCACGCTAAGCTTCATGCTCCACTCTCTAGATCCTCAAACCTGGTTTCCTTCCTTATAGATTCAAAAACACTTAGTTTGATGGGTTTCTACCCTGTTCAGTTATGTTTCACTGGGTTACGAGATCTTCAGTCCTCTTCACTATCTGTGTTATGGGAGGACAAAGTTGTCCACATGATTCCCTTGGACCTTCCAATGGGGTCCGAAGCCAGCCCAGTCCCCCTCCCTTCCCCTGGGCTATTTTTGACATCTGATTGAAGGCGGCTGCTCCTCTCCATTGTGGCGCTGAATACATGGAGCATTCTGAGAGTGAGAGAGGAGGGGGATTAACAGAAATAACTAGGCAACTGGACACCCAGCATCTAAACGCAGAGGGAATGTCTGAGTGGGGTGAGACTGAAAGAGCAGCAAAGGAGAAGATAATTCAACAACACAAATCTTTTCTCTCCTGCAGCACAACAAGGTGATGATGCCCCTGAGGACATTGAGTTTTAAAGCTAAGAGCCAGAGTTTTCTGTATGTTCTCCCAACTTTGGTCATAGGTTTTTGCTAACTTTTACTTTCTCTTAATTTCAAGACAAAATCTACCCTCTCAAAAAAAAGGTTCTACATAACATAAGTCCCACCTAATCAGATATTATTTTATTTGTTGCTTTTTGCTATTTATTTGGATTGTTCAATATTGTTCTTCCTTCAAAAGCTGTAGCCAAAAAAAAAAAGTTTAAGCCATGTGTAAGAATACTGCATGAATTAAGTATCTATAAAACTCTAGACAGTCTTTTTGGAGAGAAGCAGGGGAGGCTTCCTAAATATCATTCTTTATTCTGCCCAAGATAAACAGAAATTGGTTGATATAATGCAAGCTAGATGATACTCAAATCCAAACAATATTCCCAGTGTGTTTAAAAAGTTTATTGACAGTAGTTTTTTATGAAATGACATGAATGAAGTCAGAAGAATTGGTAGCAAGCTTGAGTTGGCAGATGAAGGTAGAACCAGCTGGTGACAGGCTGAACTGGTTGATTGAAGGCCTGAGAGGGCAGATCACAACTAAACAGACTGGAAGCAGATAGAACAGGGAGAGGCAAGTAACCAGCATGCTCAAAAATCAACTGAACGTGACCCACTATGCTCTAGATTATGTGTTATCACAGTAACTTTTAGTTATGTTTACATGGACATGAGTAATGAAATTACACAGACTGAACTAAAAATGTGTGATATTAAAAGCCAATCGATCATATTCAGCATGGTCCTAATGAAGTTCTTATCCGACTGTGTGCAATCAGAAAAGTTTGACCATTGTCTACTTAAAAAATTAAGGCAACAAAGTTTGAACTTTGTTGAAGTTTCACAAATCAGAGAAAGGAGTGTCTAGGTGTTGTAGTTTTTTTAATTAGAGTAGATTAAAGATGCTGAAGGTAAGGAAAAATGAAGTGGAATCGCCATTTATTCAATAAAACAAATGAAATCTTAAAAAGAAAACTTAAACCAAACCATTACCATGACTAAAAATAGCAGTAGATCAGATAAGGGCAGATGAAGGAAGACATGATAACCTAGAGGGCGAAGAGAAAACTGGTGCCGAGGACATGCACAAGATACAGAACTAGGATATCAGAAGTCTGAGGAGGTTCTAGAGGGAAATCCAGGTCAGTGACAGTAAACAGCCCCAAGTTCATTAAACAGTCAGAATCCAGCAGGAGTCCATAGACAGGTCAGGCAAAAAAGATCAGACGGTAACAGGCAGACTCAGTGGAATAGAGGAAGAACAGGTCAGGTAATCAGAAACACTAAGGTAACCCTGAATCACTCTCACCACTGGCTCGAGAATAATCTTGAATGATGACTGGAAGCAGGCAGGTTAAAACAGGTCAGATGGGAACAGGAGGGCTCAGTAGTTGAGAGGCAGAACAGTTCAGGATCAGGTAATGAGAAACCCTAAGGTAACACTAAGACTCTCTCACCACTGGCTCGAGAGAATAATCTGGTGCTGATGACTGGTTAGAGAGCTGTTTAAATAGAAGCAGGAGCAGGTGGATCAGATTAACAGTAACGAGAATCTGGGCTGAATTAGACAGGTGAATGAAATGAGTAATTAAGCCAGTCATCCAGGCATATACTCTATCTTGAAAAGTATCTTTTTTTTCCCTTTTCTCCTTTGCCAGTTAGTTTGCTGTGTAATCAGTTGTTTTAGATTTTCCATTTAGAGACCGTCTCACATTTTATTTGCTTCTCCACTTTGTTTTCTTGGCCACTTACAATGACTGCCTTTGTCTCTGTGCTTTACATTTTTTAGCCCCTTTTCCTGCAAATATTTTTATAGTTGTTTCTCAATACTGCTTTTGCACATGTCATGAGTCCCCTCATAGCCTCCATAAGCAGAAATATTTAGCAGTGAGTCCACATATGAGCATTCTCCAATTAGCACACTCATGTGACCAGTTCACTCTTTTCTGCATAAGTTTGCTTGTGCCTAAGCAACAACAGAAAACTTATCAAAGCAAAGAATACTGTATCTCTCTGTCAAAGTCGAAACAGAGCAAGATTCTCATCCTAATTCTATTTTTATGTTTTACATTTCTGTAAATGGGCAGCTTTGTAAAGTTTCTAAGATTTATCTTTAATCAGACAGCCGTTTACATGGTAAACAAAAACGTGACTTTGTCTATTCTTTTTTGTGGTTCAGTCTTTTTTCCTTTCTTTTTTTCTTTTCACACATATCTGCTGCCAAAAATATGTGTACCCTGGTTGTTTTAGCATTTTTATTCTCTACTTTCAAACCGAGAAGTTGGAAAGCAGGAACAGAGTTAAAGTTTACAATGTGCCTACACGTATGGAAAATCCAAACAGGCCTCACTTCTGTATGTAGAAAATGAGGCCTATACCCTTAATAACTGCTTGTTTGCATGAGGTTGTTGCTATTTTCACTTCAGGGAATTAAATTTTCAACCTTTCAAAATTAACCGAATGCCAAGTCTAGCTTTGTTGAGGGCATTTAACACATTACTTTGAACATTCTCTAACTGAGGTCCTGTCTTATGTTTTTATTTACAATTTGACTTTTTTCTGCTGTATTTATTAAATAGTTTTACATAATTTCAATATCTTACTTCACCATTAGTTAAAAGTCCATGTTCAGAAAAGAGCAATAATTTCAAAAGGAGCAGTCCACTTATAATCCAGCAGGGGGCAGACAAACCTAAACAATCTTTATTAATAGTGGCATTCAAGAAAACCATAACAATATATACCGAAGTAAAATAATTTATAGTGCTTTGAATCTAGAATCAGTAAAAAAAAAAAAAAAAAAAAAAAGAAAGAGAGAAATCTATGTTACTTATATTATTAACTTGTTAACTAGCACATGTTAAATTAGGCGTTTGCTGTTCTAAGCCTTAATTGTCCTAACCTTGTCTACAATTTGTCTTGTTAGTGAGCCTTGAGCAGCAGTTGTTACTTTTTTGGAGGATTTAGACCACTTTTTAGGGACTTTCATATTTCCCTCTTAAAACAAGAGGTCAGCACAAATTGTTATTATTATTACTTTTCTTCTTTGGGAGGACAAAAGTAGATTTTAATTAACTGTAATCTATTTCATGATGGTTTGACATCGTAGTTCCTTTCAATTTATTTAGTTCATTTCAATATAAATCAAAGTTAATAAAATGAACCTACTGTTGGGTTTTGTTTTCTGGTCCTTCTGATACATATATGATCATTTAAAAAAAAAATGTGTAATTTCTTACAAACTTTGTAATTTCACATTATTTGCAAAATCTCATGGTACATAAAGGCAAAGCAAGCTTATCTATATAGCACAGTTCTATACAAGGACTATTCAAAGTGCTTTACATGAATTATACAGTACAAACTAAGAAAAATAAAAGTAGAATAAAGGCAAATAAAGATTAAAAACAAATGAAAAGCAAGTAGTAAAGCAAACAAAACAGTTGAACCCAAAACGTAAACTAATTATACCTCAGTTAACAGTTTTACTTCAACATTCAAAGGCAGCTCTGAACAAATGGGTTTTCTAGTTCTGGGTGGACTGGCTAGGCTGGAACTAAAATACCTGAGTGGTCTGGGAGGTTGATACACTGACAGCAAATCTGTTATGTATTTAGCTGCTGATCCATTCCGTGATTGACTAACAGAAGGATTTTAAAGTTCAGGTCCTTGCGCATCATGACACCAAGACTTTGGCCATGATCAGTGGTTTTTAGCTGTAGTAGCTGAAGCTGCAAGCAAACTCTGGATCTTTCCTGCTTTGTTTTTGTGCATAATCTAGCTAAGTTTATTTTACTTAATTGTCTAATATCTCTTATGAAATTATGTTTTTTGGTTATTTAGTCATGTTCCTTTATTTTTGGTTAGTTATAATTAATTTAGGTTAATTATTTTTTATAAATAGGCAGTCAATTGTAGGACCAGCATGCATCTGGGTGGGCCTATGGTTTTTTTACCAGTGCAAGAGAAACATGGAGGAAATGTTTGTCTTTTTGTTTGCTTGCCTGAGGAAAAAATAAACTGACAAAACTAAAGGAGTTTATCTGGAACATTTTTTCTTTTGCCTGCCTTAAATAAGTCCATGGTGCATCTGTGGCCTTTGTGGATTTTCACTTTTTTGAGCCATCAAAGCTGGGCCACAAAAGTCTGAAAATTATTACCAGTTTTGTTTTTATTCAGTTGGAGAAAATTATGGTGCATCTATCTGTTCTAAGCATCTAGCCAACGCTCTGATGGATTCATAGTCACCTGGTGACACTGTCATGTAAAGCTGTGTGTCATCTGCATAGTTATGGTAACTTGCCTTGGTGTTTGCTATAACCTCAGCTAAGGGGAGCATGTAGATGTTGAATAGGAAAGGCCCCAGAATGGAGCCTTGAGGAACCCCACATATGATTTTTCTGGACTCTGATATAAAGCTCAATACTCACACAAAAAAAGTGTCTGTCCTTTAGGTAGGATTCAAACTGGATTTAAACCAGAAAGGCCAACCCAGTTTTCCAGATGCTCTAATGAAATCAAGTGATCAACAGTACGAAATGCTGCACTGAGGTCCAGTAATACAAGTACTGTGGATCTTCCAGAGTCTGGATTTATATGTGTGTCATTTAACACACTAATCAGAGCAGTCTCAGTAATGTGTTGGCATGGAAACCTGACTGGAAGACATCAAAGCAGCTGGTCATTAATCAGAAGACATTTAACTGTTGAAACACAACTTTTCAATAATCTTACTGATAAAGAAGACGTTTGAGATTGTTCTGTAGTTTTGAAAGATTAGTTTGTTCAAGCTTCTCTTTTTCAAAATCAGTTTGATAACTGTTGTTTTTAAGGCCTGGGGGGAAACCGAACATTAGGGTTGTGTTTATGATTTGAAACAAATCAGAGACTAAAATGACTAAAACTGTCCTTGAAAAGCCTGTGAGTAAAAGACCAAGACAGCAGGAAGAAGCAGGCTTATCTGCTGAACAGCTTCTTCTAGATTTTAGCAGTTTGATTGGCAGGATTGGGACATTTTAACTGAGTTTATTCTAACTGGAGACAGTATTGGTACTGTGTTGACCAGTGGCGGAGCTAGATGGGGGGCCAGGGGTGGCCATGGCCACCCTTAGCCAAACATTGGCCACCCCTGCAGCTGACCCTGTGGCCACCCCTGCCATGTTTTACCTCTAATACAGATGGTGGCAGCAGTAATACTCTCAAGTGGAATGTTCAAAATATTAAAAATCTTCATATATCAAAAATTACTTGACAACAACACTGTGGTTAATTTGGTTATGCACATCAATATACTAACATTAACAAATAAATACAGAATTCATGCTCTTTTCAGAGCTAGATTTTGTTGTATGGGGTAAAGAAAATATTATGTTTCTGCAAGTCATCTAGGAGTCTTCAGTGAAATCATAGATAACTATTTTCATAAAAACTTTATATATAACCAATTTATGTTGATATTAGTTCTTGTAAATATCACTTTTATGCAGAATGATTATTGATAAAAGTAGGTAAGTGACGACAATGGAAAAGATGTTTGCCCCAGAACTCAAACCGGAAATTATTTTATCCACTATACCTTTTATCTAGAAAGAAAGAATGTTTAAATATATGCGTCTATTAGCTAGCAAAGGATGTAGGAAAGGATAGTTTGTCTTTATTTAGAAAAATGTGGATGTTTTGCTCATTAATTTTCCTGTTGGAACAGTGTAGATTGACCCTGAGGTTCGGCCACCCCTCAGTGTACAGTGGTTATTGCCTGGCCACCCTTACGAAAAGGTTCTGGCTACGCCTCTGGTTGACATTGAAGTACAGACTGCTTTAGGACTAAATTTTTTTTCTGTAAAAACTATGCAAAAATAAAAAATAAAAAAAAAAAGACGTCCTTAATGACTAAATGAGTGTTGATTTTTTTTTAAGTCCTATTAAAGATGCTGAAATCCAGCATGTTATTTTAAACATTTAGTTTGATCAAAGTAAAACAGCAGTGCAGATGAAATATGTAACATTCTGATAAATTGCAATAAACTAAACAAAACAACAACAGATTTTTAAACAAAACCCAAAACGTAAAAAAATTGAATAGTAACACGTTTTCAATGCAGAGAAAAAGGAACCAAATCTGTGACGCAATTGGGCGATACCATGTTCGCGGGACATATGGGGTAATCTCTACATGAAGAGTTGGTCATCCCAAGAAAATAAATAAACTTTTACTCCTGTAATAAAAAATGGACGGTGTAATTAAAAGTTGATATATTCATTTAATCTATTAGTTTCAATACATTACCTTAAACATTTCTGCTTACCAGAGACGGTTTACCCGAACCCTCTCAGAATGTGTGGTGGAGCGGCCCACCGGCTCAGAGACGTGTACGGTGTTTGCTAACAAACGAGCCGGATGGAAGCTTCCGCCTCGGCTGAGAGCTTGCTGTCACCGCGGGAGGATGAACAACCAGATATGTAGCACTTTATCCCTGAAACTGAAAAGCCGAAGGGGGATCATACACTGTATCTATGTGGTGGGCTTCATGGTGAGTCAGGGACTGTGGGTCTTTTAGCTGCTTTAGGTATGTGGGTGAGATGTTAAATCAATGACACTCAGTCTGGACAGTGTTTCATAACTCAGGTGTGATGTCAGATATGTACAGGTAGCTGCAGATTACAACCAGTTCTGTCTTCTTCTTCTTTTTTTAATTTTTATTTTTATTAAGATATGACATGGGTATGACAAAAAATTAAATCAATTTAAAGCCTCCCTGTTGCTGTAATTAGAAAAAGTATTAAGAAATCTGAGAATATTAAGTTGTTTTCACACCTCTAGTATGTTCCAACAGGATGCTAAACTCCTGAGAGGATTATACTGTAAATGTATTATACTGTAACCCCCTGATCATTTCCTTAAATGAAGGTTTTGGGTCACCTCTCGGATTATAAACAATTTAAACCTGAAAAAGTTCCATTCTCCCTATGAAAGATGGAGAATTTAATATATTCTAAAGATAAAGGGGAGAAGATAGGAATGTTACCTAAGCTGTAACAAAAATGTAATAACAGGATTGTGTTAGAAAGCTCTATGAGTAGCTGTGTGCCTCCAATTAAGTGTTTGGCAAAAGCTGCTTCAATCTCAGCAATGTAGAAAAACAGGATGTAGCTGCTAACAGGGCTGTTTGTATGAACTTTAACGCTGATTCATTATAACATAGCAGATTATCTCAATTTTTCACCTGACTCCTCCTTCCTGCATGGATTAAAGCTGCTGTCAGATCATCATGTGTCCATCAATATTCACTCTGCATAAAAGCAAATCACATATTCTTCACAAGTTTGCTTCTTTGCAAAAATATGCATTTAAAATATATTTCTGTAAATGTAACATGAATGTATCTATAAGACGTCTTTGCAGGTTTGTTTGGTGTGTGTCTGGTTGCCCTGAGAAACATGAAGTTAGATTAGCATGGCTGCTGATTTAATTTCAGCAGCCATGTGAAGTACTGCATCTTTCAGGATACAATAAGTAGCTTTTCTCCTCCTTAGTACTTTATCTGATGCTGTTAAGTTTTTTAATATATATTTTTTTTTAGCTAAGATGTCAGATAATAGAAGTGAATAATCCTTTTTTGTTTATTACTGTAAATTAACAGTGGGAGAATTTTAATCTTAGCATTAGTAATTGTTTTTTTATCTGATTACAGGGTTGTTTTGTTCTGTTTTGTATCTGTAGAGCACTTTGCAGTGTTCTATAAAGGGCTGGCTAATTTAAATGTTTTCAAATATGCTCTGCAATTCTTATTCAAGAGATTAGATTTTGTCCAATTAAAAGAACTTTTTGAAAAATGCTTTTCATCAAACAGATCATCATCTTCAAGAATATAAAAGTGTGGACCTCTGGTTTTGTTTGATGTTTATTTATGATTCTTTTCATCCTGTTTTGTTTTTCAGCATAGTTTTAATCTCATGTTTTCTGCAGGACTTGTTCGGGGTGAGCATGATCATCCCGCTATTGAGCCACCATGTAAAGGCTCTTGGAGCAAGTCCCACAGTGGCTGGAATTGTGGGTAAGTTTAGGTTTCATATTGTTGATTTATGTAGCCGAGGTAGAGGAGAGCTCAGCTTTAAGTTTCAGCCTGATGCTACAAAGGCAAGACAGAACTCAAGCTAAGTTCATACTGCAGCCTGAAGTGACCAAAATCAGATTTTTTTGCCCATATGTGATCTTTTCATGGCGGTCTGAACAACGCAAATCCAATTTTTTCCAATGAGACCCTGGTCACTTGGCTATTTGATCTTTAATCTGATACGAATCTGATCTTTTCAAGTGTGACCTTTGTCTGAACGGCCAGGTCTCCTTCATCTGACTTGAACGTCATTAATACTCCACAAAGATCACTATTCTGCATCTTGCTATGTAGACACGGGAAGAAATGTGAAAAGTAGTCTTTTTTTTAACCATCTTGAAAAGATTGAATTTTTAAGGTTGGGAAAAGATCACCGGATGAGCTCCACTACCATCCATGTTTACTTCAGTAAACACAGAGCATGCTTGCTTGTGACGTCATTGCATCTTCTACTGTGCATTCAGGACACTTGCATTGTATGAATACAGTTCAGACCGGAGATCACATACAAGTCGCATATATTTGGAAATAAATTTGGATTTCACAAGAAATCGGAATTGAGCATTAAGGCCTGCAGTGTGAACGTAGCCTTAGACACCTCAAATTACTTAGTAATTGATGACTAACAGAATGCTATAAAGAATGATAAAATGAGTAACTTAGTTCATAAAACTTCCATCTTCCACTTAAAATGAAAGCGAAAAAGGAATCAGATTTTTCACTAAAGGTTAATATGGAAGTAATGAAAGGCAGGTGAAAAAATACATTTTTGTAAAGCTAATTTTTTTTATTTTTATGTTTTGTTTGTAATACTTTGTTTTGCCACTAGAGGCACTCTAAACGCAAAAAAAGATCTTGCCTCTCGGGGCAAGAAAATAATTGAAACCCTGAAAAACTTGGTACATTTCTTACCCAGATTTGTTTTTTCTTGTCTTTCAGGGTAATTACAGTAATTATCTCAAATCGTAATTATCTTATTCTAGAATTGAGCTGCTTAAGGTGGCTGCACATTGGAGTAGACCGCTACAGAAGATCCTCCCTGCCTACAACTATTACTACCTACAACACCTATTTAAAAAAAATAGTTACTGCAACATTTAATTTCACTTTAAAAAAGTATTTTTGAATTGATTTTTAATTGAATAAAATGATTATGGAATAAATAGCTGCAAAATGATTTAGAATCTGGCCTTTTTTTTTTTTTTTTTTTTACATCAAATCAAAGTGTATTGTAGCGGAATTTTATGTGAAAGGTCAACGCAATAAGTGCATGACTATTAACATTTCTAAATCTGAAATACAGATATTTCCACTCATTCAAGTGCATTCAGCCCTCTTTTTGATACCCGTCATTGAAATATTGTTTTAAAAAGAACATGGCTGCAAAGATTGCAAGTTCAGGTGAGAGAACAAGAAAAGCAAAACACTTTGAGGAAAATGTTAAGAATCTAGTGGAAGATGGACAGAGAAAAGTACAGATCAGTTATTTAAAATGAACGAAAGATGACCTGAATTCGTTAGGTGTTGGTCGAGGTTAAAACATCCCGGTAAAATACACGTTAGTTTGTGGTTTTAATGTGACCAAGTAATAGATTATAGAGAGGTGATGGCCAGAAGATGTAGATCCAGTTATTAAGCAACAGTTAAGAAATGTAAAAGAAATTAAAAACTCCTCTAAATTAGTAGGTTTAAACCCTTTTCAAACAAACTGTTTTTTTGTTTGTTTGTTTTTTTTGTATTTTTGTCTCTTTAGATAATTTAGATTGGATGGATCCATAAAAACAAAATAGGTTTTTGAGTTTACTTGAGCGTATGCAAATGCAAATGATGAAACGAACGCTACAGTCACCTTAAATATTTTAGAGATGATAAATAACTAATAACTTGGACTTTTTTCAATAATATTTGTGAATATCTGTGAACCTTGAAGTGATCGTATGCCTTCAAGTTTATTGTTTGTAATTTGATCCAAACTTAAAACAATTATCACACCTTTTACAGGCTCTACGTATGGAATGTTGCAGCTTTTCTCCAGCACAATAGTAGTGAGTATTGACTTTGTTTTTCTCTTTTACCTCCCTTTCTGTAGGACTCCCATGCTAAACAGGACAAGCGCATTTTTAGTGGCCAAAATGGCTGAATTGCTGGTGGAAACTGAAAACACTAGTCGTTGTGAATCAATTGTGATCACACAGTGGATTCATTGTGTACACTTGGACACAAACACAAATCCTGATCAGCTGCAAAATTCTTCTTTTATTAAATAAATAACATTCAAACGTTATCCCCACCCCGCAGTGAGGATACTTATAAATGAATTAATCCTTTTGATGCATGAAAGAAGTAAGAAACGGTGCACAATAGGTTTTGACATCTCTAGTTGAATTCTTCACCGCCTTCTGCTGCGGCTGCCGTCAGCTCCTTAAATTAGTTTAATTTTCAGGGGTCATGCGACCAATTAAGAACAAAGAGTCATCTGTTGGTGCCATCATGCAGACCGGCTGGATCCCCATCAATGTAGGGATGATATAAACAGCTAGGCCACTATGGTAATCCCACAAGTTTCCATCCACAGCACAGAGTAGCTCAGCTGCTCCTCATTTCACTGTTTCATCATTGTTGTGTATCTGTGTGAGAGAGGGAGAGAGAGGTTGAGAATCGAATAAATCCACAGCTGCACGGCACAGAGGAAATGTAGAGGTTTTTCAAATTTCTTTCTAAATCGTTTGATTTTTCAGATGTAAACATTTAGTCACTTTATAGACTAAGAGGAAGAGAGAGTAAGAGACAGGCTTTTCTTTGTCCTAAATCTGTTATTGACAATTTAAGAACACGTTTATGTCCCAGGTTTTAAGATCTTGTAGATACGTCCCTGAATGGGTTTGCATTTGATTGGCAGGGCAGCTGGAGCGACGTGGTGGGGCGGCGCTACTCCTTGCTGACCTCTATCCTGCTGAGCGCCTTCGGCTATGGCCTCCTTGGGATTTCTACAAGCATCACTTTGTTTGTGCTCGCAAGAATACCTGTAGGTGAGTTAAAGGTCTCACATTTGATCAAATTCCAACCACCACCTTTAATGTGATTCATATAGACTTAATGTGACAGATCAATCTAAAGTTATGGGTAACTAAAGTGGAAAGGAACTCCATCGATTGCCTATATTTGCGTACCGTTACATGGTTGCTGGGGGTCATTTACTTCCTTTTTAAAGTTTCCTCTATAGTAAACACCTCCTCTAAATGATGATGTCAGAGTCCATGCTCCCTGGCTGTTCTTTCTATAACCATGTTTTGCAAAAGTTAAAGCTTTTCAGATCTAGAGATTCTCTATTTTGTTCCCCTCAACATTTCTTTGTAAATTAACTCAGGTTTATTCAGATTGGACTGAGCGCTCATGTGAAGATAAACTCCAGATTCCAGTCTTTACTTTAACTAGGCCGTTCAAACTCATGAGTATTCTTTGATCTAAGGCAGAGCTTTTAAACTCCGATGCTCATTGGTTGGTGTCCTTCACCTTTTATATGCGTTTCTGCGTTAACACACCAGAGTTTAATAATCAGGTCACTAGCAAATTGTCGCCCCTCCCTCCTTTTCTTAGCTTCCATCCCTTCACCTTTCATGATGTCAACAGTAAGAAAAACAGAGTAGGAGCAGAGCTCCGTACTGCTGTACTGTATCTGGACCGCCCTCAGCCTTACGTACAGGAAAAACACTACTCAAGTTGGAAGAACAGCCTTCCAGAAACGACCTACAAAAAAACAAGTTGCTAGCTCTCGTTTTTGTCACACAGACTACTTGTGAAGAAAATGTATTTTTCAATAACTCTATAAAGTTAGTTTGTGCCTATATGTTCTGCCACATAAAGGATTGCAGGAAACCGTGTACATCCTAGCGGCAGCTAGGACTGTACTGATGAAAGGAGGCTTCCTGATTCCTCTTCCTACCTCCTACCTTACTACCAGCACTATTTGGATAGCACTTATGATGACTGTTGGCATACATCCTGTTTGGCTTAAGTGTCCTAATTGATTTTCAGTATTTGGAGGGACCCCTTGACTCCAAATTGAGGAGGAAATTAAGCCTTTTTATTCAGGTGTGTTGGAGTATAGACATATCTAATGGTTGTAGGATTCTGGTACTTGAGGACTTGAGTGTGATCTCAGTCATTCTGTTAGAAGGTTGCTATCCTGCTGCAAGGTGAACCCAGGATTTAGCTCCATCCATCTTCATCTAAATTCTGTTCAGCTTCTCGTATCTCTGTATGAAGCTCTAAAGCTTCTGCAGGGTTACCCCCAGATTCCACATCCTCTGTCACCGCTCAACCCCGCTCACGTATGTCGTGTGGATCCCTTGTGCAGTCATGTTAATCGGTGAGAACTGTGAGAACATCAACCGCTACTCCTAGCATGTCACCGTCCACGTACAGTACGTCTTCTCCGTCCGTCACTGTCAAAACATAGAGCCGAGCTCTTTTTTGCTCCGCTCCTGTCCGGCCAGGTCAAGATCTGCAATTACAATCGCACCAAACAGAAAAAAAACGGCGTGAAGATCCGGTTTGTCAAATTAAAATATGGTAACAACAGATCGGTAACTACAAATTAGAGCATAATTCTTCTATATTCCCAAAAACTTGGTCCGTTTAATTAAATTATTGGATACAAACTATCTGTACTTCAACATACCAGGAAGCAGATTTCTCATCATCAATCAAAATGTTTATTTCATACTAAGATGCTTAAAAAGTTTCATCGAATCCAGTCACAACAACTTTCAACAGCACATTTCGAAATTTCAAAATAAACTTCTTATCGCAGGCATGGATGAAGAGATGCTGAGTTTGGAAATAGAGAACAAACCAATTTTTTCTGGTCCTAATTATCCCTATTACAAAGACCCACAACGAAAAAATAATGTTTGGGAAGAAACATATGTGATTGATGCTGATGATGAGTTTTAACTGTCATTAAATGAAGCGTTCATTGCAGCATGTTTCAGCAGGCTTTAAGGAAGTCGGAGCGGAGCAAGATGGGAGGAAACTCGGAGCTGTAGGCTTTGCTTTGCCCAGGCGGTCTGCAGCGGGGTGGGGCGGAGCAGGGAGGTTGTGGAGGATGTGGGATTTCGGTGTTACAGTGGACTGCCTCTCTCTAACTTCATTAGGATGGCCATGTCCTTTTGCAGTCGTCCCATAACTTTCCTTGATCAGTCTGTTGTTTTGACAGTGATATGTGAAAGGCATTGCTCGTCTTTTCAACTAAATGTAACTTTTTATCCAATAATCCTTAGAGGCCTTCAGAGCTGGATCTATACCAAAATTAAATTCCACACAGGTGGAGTGAATTTACTAATGAGGGGGCAGTCATTTGTACTGGACCGGTTTTAGTGGTCTCAGAGCAAACTGAGATGCTAAAAAAAATACACATATAAAAACATTTGTAGAAATTCTGCATTATTTTCCTGGAAACTGCATAAAAGTGAACAAGAGTTTTCCTTCTTTTGTTTGTTTTTAGGACTATTCAAGCACTCATTGTCCATCTGCAGAGCCTTGCTGTCAGACCTGGTGTCTGAATCAGAGCGCCCTCTGGTGATGGGACATTTTAATGCAGCCTCCAGTGTGGGCTTCATCCTGGGTCCTGTAGTAGGCGGCTACCTCACTGAGCATGAAGGAGGCTTTTATACCTCCTCTTTTACATGTGCAGCCATCTTTCTAATCAATGCCGGTGAGCTCAAAATGCTGAGATATTGCACATTTCGTATTATTCTTTAAGAAACTGTTATCTGAAGCTGAGTTTTTGATTTCCAGGCCTGGTTTGGATGCTGCCACAAAGCGAGAAAATAACCGATCGGAACGAAACCAACATCAGCAATAACAGCAGTAAGGTGTGTCACAATGAGTACTGTACCAAGTCTGCACAAAATGGCCTCCATGCAAACAACCATCACTCAGGATTGACCACAGTAACTGAAGCAGACTGTAGATCCGCCCGGAAGCCTCGCCTCAGGTGGAGGGAGGTGTCTCTGCTCCAGCCTGCATGGAAGCAGCTTACCTCAGTCAGCTCCAGGATTCATATGGTGGCTTCTTCTGATATGTGGGACCTCTTTCTCGTGCGTCTGTTGATGGCCATAGCCATCATGCTGTACTACAGTAACTTCTCTCTGGCCATGGAGGAGCGTTTCTCTATGAAACCAAAGATGACAGGTTATCTGATCAGCTACAGCAGCACCTTAGGGGCCCTGGCCGGGTTCCTGGTGGGGCCCGTCACTCAGCTTTACAGGAACAACATGCCTGCTCTGCTGCTTCATTCCACTGTCCTCACCTGTTCGCTTATTTTACTTTACGCCACCGCTCCAAGCGTGTGGCAGGTTGTGCTCACCTCCACCTTCTTTGCCATTTCTACCTCCATCGGACGGACGTGTATCACAGATCTGGAGCTTCAGAGGGGAGGGGCCCACGCCAGCGGAACTCTGATTGGAGCCGGCCAGTCGGTGACAGCCGTGGGTCGAGTTCTGGCTCCGCTCCTCTCCGGTCTCACCCAGGAGATCAGCCCCTGTGGTCCTGCTAGCTTGGGAGTCGTGCTCGCTCTGGCAGCTGTAGGTTTGCTTCTCATCAGAATCCCGAAATGGGATGGTGGAGGACGGACAAAAACGGGAAAACTTTAAAAACTCATTGCAACTGAATGTTTTTGTTGTTGTTTTTTTACTATGCAAATACATCACTTTGAGAAGTGCAATTATTTGCAGCAGGCAGCTGTAATGGACAGCAAACCCTCAGTGTTTCATGCTGAAGCATGGTTGATGCCATGGGTGCCTCCACTTCCTGCATCTGCTTCTCTCAGGGACACTGGAACCAAAAAAAAAATGTGTGCAGCTTGAAGCAAAAGGCTGCAAAGTTTATTGTGCTTCCAAATTTGTTGAACTTTGATCAAACAGAAACATGCAGTGAGGGCCTTATCTTATTGTCCTGGTTATTGCAATAATCTACACCATGCTGTTAGTTTAGCTCTGTAGGCACTACCTAATTCAAATTTAATGAAGTAATGAGAAGACCACTAATCATTCACTACAAACCTAACAAACTACTGAATTATAAAGATAAAGCGGAGGGGATACACCACTGAAACTCTCATTAGAGATGCACTGATCATTACTATGTTAATGATTCCCAGACTTAAGTTTTTTAAAAGTTATGTGAATGTTCAATTGATTGTGATTGGTCTTTACAAATTACATGAGCAGCATTTAAATGTTTGAGGTCTTTAAGCTGATTGTCACCATTAATTATGTGTCTTTGTTATTAAATACTATAAAAAAGTTTTACTATTTTAAAAGAAACTCTTAGTTTACATTCTATATCTGTTCAGATTTCCTGTTTTTTGCTCTTAACACATTACTGTCTACATTTATTTATGATTGTTTGAAATATGTTTTATGTTTTTTCTGACTAGCAGTCACTAAATTAAGTAAAAACTATCAATTTAAATATATCTTATTTTGCGGTATTGTAATGTCCTGTGAGGTTAGAGAAGCCCCAAGGGCTGCTGGGTGATATTAAGACGGGGAAATATCTCACCATTTAATCCTAGTTTTGTCTCAAAGGATTGTTAATGTTCCTAATCTGTTGAGGCTAAGCTAATGTTATGTTCTGGAGTTTGCAGTTGTAAGTGTTAAAATCCGCACCATGAGAAGTTGCATATAATGGAAAAAAGCATTTCCTAATTGGTTGATTTGAATTGATATGAGGTTTGTGACTGGACCCTGGTTTCAGTGTGACTTACTTACCTGCTGTTACAGTTTCATTCAAATTAGTGACAATAGGCATAACTGAGACCAAAGGTAACCAGATTAATTCATTTATCTGAATTATTCATGGAGTCTGCAATTGCTAAGCAGAGCAATGAAACTGATTTCAGATCAGTTTTGTCTCTGCTCCATCATCATATCATCAAGCTTCTTTTCGTATTTCAAAGTCACCTATAGGCAAATATATGAAGAAATCAAGCATTTAGAGCTACGTGTGTACTGATTTGTTATTGAATAAAGTTTTTTTTTTCTTCTAACCCCTAAAGAAAAACACTTTCTGTTAAAGCGAAACCACCTTTCCCATCTTGAAACCACCTATTATTACACCACTTAGGAAGGCCTAAAAGCATATTTTGACTTAGACGTTAACTGAAATTGAGACTTAGGCTGTCATTTTCAGATTAGCCCTAAGATCAACTTTAAGTCAGAACCATCAAGCTCTGCCTCATCACCCCTCTCCAATCCGACAAGGCGGCTTTTTTTTTTTTTTACAGTACAGGCACAGCATGTTCAAGGTAGCTGCTCACTGTAGGGGGCCCTTCTTTTTTTGTAGATAGCCTTGTTGTTATGACAGGTGAGGGAGGGGCTGCCTCTTATACAGTTCCTATTCAGTCATTAGGATCACTGAAAAGATGTTTGAATCAAGCCAGATACCACAATCTTCTTGCATGATTTAGATAAAATGATGACATTATAACATAAGTAAAAGCTCAGAAAAGTATATTTTTCATGATATCTGTCCTGTAATACCACAAAATCAACTGGTGTTTCATGCACAATCTGACCACTAGGTGGCATTTATGTGTTTCTAGCGCTGATCTTTATTTATTAACTGGATTGCTGATAGCCCAAAAAACAGTGAAGCCACCGGACGCCATATTGGTACTCCCCACTCCCATTGAGACACTCCATAAAAATGCCTATGTGTGTAGCATTTAGATGTGAAAACAAGCAGTTTGTCAGCTATGGGAATACTTTTCACAGGTAATTTCACCGTGGATGTACTAACCAAAAAAAAATCCATGTAACAGTAATAGTAACATTAGTCTGGCTATCTCAGACTGACTGGAAGACATTGACTGAATTATCCATCAACACTCTGTCTAATGTTAGAAAATAGAAAGTAGAGTATATAGAAAGTAATTCTCTGTGAAATGTCAATGTAGTAATTCTTTATTAAGTGAATGACGCTGTCGTTTTTGTAGGGTTTGCTGTATTTCTCATTTCAGAAAGTCATGTGCTGCAATATATTGCATGTTATATTGATGGAAAAAAGCAACTTAAACATATTTAAAAGCTAATGTACTGACAGCCTTAAAGTATATGCCATCATTCATGCATAATTTGCAAGAAGGAAAATACTATAGCATTAACAGACATTTACTTTTAATTCAGTCTTGATGTCAAATTTTGAAATATGTAATATCTATTTACCATAACATTGTCATCAACACATGCATATTACATGTACATTGTCAATTTAGCACTTTTGGCACATCTGTGTTATTGTGTTCCATTAACACATTAATTTTGTTGTGATGAATTTGTATAATATGTTATATTACATGATTTATAGACTTCATTGACTTCTTACTGACTATGCAGTGTGCTGTAGTCAATGCATTGTTATCATCGCGACCAGTGTAACTAGGGAGTACCAATATGTTGGGCATTGGCTTCACACCACCCCGTACTACCAACAGGCTATCAGCAATCCAATGAATAAATAGAAATTAGTGGTGACTAATGTGTTAGTTGAATGTACCTTAGTATAACGATAAACAGGCACCTTTGCATTAAGGCCACCAGGCACTGTTGTTACAGAGTTTAAAGGCTGTTGCAAAAGAGTTAAGTCTTGCTCTCTCTAACTCTTTTCTCCTGGCTTAAAAAAAAAAAAAAAAAAATGCTTTCACAAGGCAAGAAGGCACTATACCTACTGTATGTGTTGATGTTTTTTTTTTTTTTTTACCTATTTTTTTATTTTATTTTTTTTAAGATAAAACAGTTTTAGGTAAGAAAACTTTTTTGTATAAAAGGCGAGGTGCCAAAGTTACTCAATGAAAATCTGTTCAAAACATTTCTTTGTTGTTTTTTTTTATTCAGAACCATCCCATATTTTATTAATAAAATTTTTGTGATTTAGATCAACCGTTTGAGATTTTGGTAATAATTTTGTAAGAAGTTGTATTTCTGTGCCTCCTTTTCTTTTGTAATACAAAGTCAATGGTTTGTGGTGTGGTTCAAAAGATTATCCTCCTGATTAGAACGTAAAATATAAACCAAAGGGGCAATTCTTCATTTTTTCTTTATCTTTAATTTTTGTTTTGCTTTTTTTATGTTGTGTTCTCTGGTCAATTGGTTGGTGTATTAACCTAAATAGCATATTCAAATGAAGAAGTTTTTTTGTTGTATTCAAAACAAATGAAATAGAAAAGTACAGTCAGAAGAATATTGAATGACGTTATAGTGTAAACACAAACTAAAGTATGTATGTCAAGTCTAAAATGCCTGTAAATGTCTGTCAACACATTAAAATAAATTGTTCACTATAACTTAAGAGTCCTTAAAGTTTAATTATATCTTACATTCAGTTGGTACAAAGAATGATTAATTCATTAAAATTTAAACAAAGAATTTATATCAAAATTGTTCTTTAGATTTAATTCAGAATGACTTTTTATTCTCAACAAAGTAAAACTGTTAAACATATGTATTTTAGGCTTATATGACATCAATTTTGGAAAGTAATGCATTGCAGGAGTTTGCTTTTTTAGCTATGTTCATTCCTTTTTTTCTCTGTTCATACAGGATTTGTAGTCCAGGGGTCCGTTTCACCAAGCAGGTTTACCAAAAACTCCTGAGGGTTAGGATTCACCAGTGTTGTATAAAGTACTGAAACCTCGAAGACTTTGGTAAAAGTCCAAGTCACTGACTGAAATGTTACTTGAGTAAAAGTCTTAAAGTATCTGAAATGGGTTGTACTTAAGTATAAGGATTTGGGTTGTACTTAAGTATAAGGATTCCTGTAAAAATAGATGTACCCAAGTAATGTAGTGAAAAGTATAAGTAAAAAGTAGTGCAGTTTGAATGACATTTTGGTAAACTTTGAATGTTAAATTTACTTAAAATAATATAAACAACCAAGTCTAGGATAAATTTAGACTGGCTTTGCGAAACAGGTGTATCCTATTGGTGTTGATGAACAAGCCCAGGCAAGACCCGACTTTGTAGTCAGTAGGTGGAGTTAAAACACTTGCGTTTACCTCGCTCGTTTTTGTTTTTTTTACTTACCGGTAGTAATTAAACCAAAAATTGAAAATGTATCGGAGTAAAAGTATGCAATTAAGTTCGTAAATGTAGTGAAGTAAAAGTAAAAGTTCTCAAAAATATTTATACTCTTGGAAAATATAAAGTACTCCAACATATACTTAAGTACAGTAGTGAAGTATTTTTACTTCGTTATTATACAACACTGGGATTCACTCTGTGATAACAACCTACTAAACCTATTGGCACAATCTGAAGCCATTCTATGGGACTGAAAATCGCTAATAACGACCATTTATTGGGATGGTAACATCCAAAGCGGTTTCAAACAGAAACCTAGTATTTAAAGTCAAAATCAAACTGAGAACCCATGACATGTTCTAGAACAGCATTTTTTATTCTTTATCTTCACCTGCTGCCACATGATTTCACCTAAATGGATAAATTGATCTACTACCATTCAAGAAATTATTCCGTAATGTTATTGTGGTCACAACAGGATAGGGCAAGCCATTTTGTTATGTATTAGTTTTACTGAACACATATTCCTGATGTCTGAAAAAATATTTTTTTTTCAAATCAATTCAAAATCAAAACGACATGCTTCACGTATAGAATAAACTTTCAAGATGTCTAGAAATTAATTTCAGATGTCTCTATTCCTATTTTACTGGTCAGCATTTGTATTATTTTAACAATGAAGAAATGTATTTCAGATATAAATACATATTTAGTCAAGCTGTAAAATGTCAGGATATTTAATTAGTTATAGTTATGTTTAACTAGTTATACAAAATTTAATTTTTACTAGTATAGTTTTTATTTTCTGAAATTCAGTTTGTAGCAAAAATCTAAGATAGAATATAGATTATAGTTCAGTCTAGGAGTGGGATTTAGATCAGGAAGAATTTAATTTTAGTGATCTACAAATGGAACAGCAAAGAGTGCTTTTAATAAATGTAAAAACAGCCTGCCATAACCCTTTATATAAACCTATGCATTATCTTGAGCAACAATCTTTTACTGCTCAAACTCCGTGTCCCATTTCAACCTTCCTTAGAGCCAATCATCTTTTATTTCCTGATTTACTCCAGAGTTTTGTTGTAGTTTTATTCAAATAATAAAAATAAAATCATTCATTAGGGCTGTTAGACACATTAGATGTTGAAAACAAACAAAATGTCCATTAGACAAGTATCTACGGTAATTAAATGTTGAGCAGCATTAATTTCATTAGGTTAAAAAAAAAATTTTTTACTTTCTAAAATTCAGTTTCTGCTGCAGATATGTAATTTAGAAAACCACAAATAAATGTCCAACTAGGACTGGGATCTTGATCAGGAAGAATCCTTTTGTAGTCATCTACAAATGGGACAACAGAGAGGAGAGCACTTTTAATAAATATTAAAACTTCCTGTCTTCATATACAAAAACATATGCATTGAGCACTAATCTTCTCCCTCTCCTTTTAAGTTGGAGCGCTGCTCTGTCTTTTAACACATTCTCCAATTTATTTCATTAAAATCTCTAGTTTCAGCGGAGTGAAAATGAAATGGACAAGTGCTTAAACTTGTGCCATACATACCAGTTTACCTGATTATTAAGGTACAAAGAAATAAGGTTCCCTCAGTTTTGAGGGGGAAAAAAATACGAAAAGAGAGCCATAATATTTACCCGTAAAAACAAGACTTATTTTCTCAATAAAAATTTTATTCAACAGTTTAAAACAATAAAAAAAATCCTCATAGAAAGAATAATAGCTAAAATACAAGTTCAAAATTCATTAATAAGGCAAACAGTTCAGTCAGTATTTTGCACCGAGCTTCTGATGTGCATGGCAGCTCTTTCTGCGAGGTATTCCTACGAAATGTTTTCGTCTTCAGGTAGAAATGAAAAGACCTCCATCGTGAATGTACCTTCACATTTGAAACTAAAACAAGAAGTTTTTGTTTTTTTTAACAATGTGGTTCATTTGGATTTTACTTTTTTGGGTTCCACTGTGGCCGCCTGAGGAGAGGGTTTCGAGGCGTGTTGTCTCTGGGTTCGGCTGCCCAGCTTGGTGGTGATAAAGCCTCCTGCTGCCACAGCCCATTTTCCTCTTCTGCCTCATTTTCATTCCTTAAGCTGTCTGCAGAGCCATTGTTATTGTCAACAGGAGGGCCGTGGTGGTGAGAGGAGGATGGGAAAGAGGGATCACTGTTGGAGGAGGTAGTTTGGTGCATGCCAAGGTCATCAGTAGAGGGCATTTCTTTTAGTGTTCCCAGCTTGTGAAGCGGCATCATGGCTCCAGACGAAGAGCGTTTGGAATGACTGAGTCGAGAGCGTCGAGTAGGATAGGCTACCTCTGACATTGTCTCATGTTTATCTGAGATGAAAAGAAGGAGAAACAAGAAGTAATAAAAATAATAAAGCAGCAATAAAAGAACCAACCATGTGTCTTTCTTCCTTTACTTCCCAGTTATATCTTTCTAACCTTTGGTCACATGAATTTCTAATAATCTGTGTTTCTTGTTTTAACATTTAATGTGTTAAAAGTTATCAAAGGAGCTTTAATAATCATGTTATTCCCTAATGGAAAAGTGTGAAGGATTAGTTTCAGAAGCTTACCTGCATGACTCAGTCGAGAGGAAGGATATTTTGACCCTAAACTCTGTCCAGCAGGAAGTGAAAAATATTTCTGAGACTTTGGAACCATCTGGAGAGAAAAACACCAAATAAGAGAAAATTAGTAGAAGAGATTCTGTTTCACCTCTAGCAACTTACATCAGATTTAGGTAAATGTAAAAAAAAACTGCAGTACTGAGTTTCTCAGGATTATCTGTGTTTCAACAGAAGTGGATCTTAAACATAAACATTAAGGACAAAATGAAAGTGGAAAAACTTCTGTAATTCTTGAGGAAAATATAATTTTAATACAATTGTAAAGAATGTAAGTGTGTTACCTTGCACAGTCTTTAATTTCCAGCTTAATCACTTAAATGAAGCCTAAGCGTAAGTTCAAGTGAAGAAACTAAACTACTTGCCCTCATCATGAGAGGCTCATCTGCCTCTGACGCAAACCAATAAGCTTTGAACTGCATCTCCACAAAGCCCAATCAGCATCCAGAGTTTATCTTAAAAGGTCCTCAAGTCCATGACTCTGTCTGCTGCCCAGCCAAGCACAAGCAGTGATTGTGTTTCTGATTTTGACTCTGACTCCGATTCAACCCACCTCCGTTCCCTTCACCACCATCATATCTAAGGTTCATGCAAACCTGTGTTTATCCAAGCTGGACATCTATCTTCCGGGTCCCTGAGTAAAGCACCAGTATCAGCACACAGTCTACTGGATCTCACCAATACAGCTAAAGCAGACCGTCTCACAAACCAGCAGTCTATGGACTGAACAACTTCATCCATCTCCACTCCAACAGTTTCAGGCCTGGGGGGAAACTTCCCTGTTCTCATATACCTGCTTATGCATATTACAGTAAAATTCAGTGCTAATGTTTCCTGCTAAGGTCTGTGTGCCAAAGTTAAAATAATTGTATTCATAAAATTCTTCTAATTGTCCCTTTCTTTAATTAATTAGATAAAAACTTGGGATGAGTTGACAAAACATCGTTTTAATTTTACTTATGATTTAATTGTACCAAAACTATTTAAGATACTGATCAGATAAACTGATATTTTTAATCTATTTATCCAAATTAGTTTTTTTTATAAACAAATTTTTTTAATTCTAGATTTTTTATAAATATATTTTCCTCTCTTAATCCCCGAGAAATTCAGAGGTAACAATAGAAGAAACAGGTAAATTACAGATAAAGTTTTAAAAATACAATAAATAGAACTTACAGTAGCTCCTGATAACCAACCCCAGATGAACAGATATTCTACTTTTTCATAATATTTCAGTTATACCACTTTAGAGTGTCTGTTCATAACCTCAGCTGTCACAGCCACAGCTCTAATGAGTCTCCATTTTCCAAGCTAGTGTCAGGTTTTACACAAAGAAGGAAATTTAAAAGCAAGGTTACCCTTAGTGGGAGGAGTCAACATTAAAACCACCACCAAGAAACAAAATGAGCCTAGACACACCGACCAACATTAAGTTTAAAAGAAGTATGCAAAAAAAAAAAAACACTCTGAAACATTTGCATTTTAAACACCAGATTCCATTAAGCTAATTTAAATAGCCTCATTTTATATATTGTGGCAGTAGGTCAATTGTTAACATAATCACTGTTTACCAATTTTTGTGGTCAAAATGAAGCAATTCATGGATTGACTTTATCACTTTCTAAAGTATTAGAAACACAAAACATGCTAAAAATGCCAGAAATATCATAAATGATCTGAAGATATTAATTCATTTTAGAGAATATAAATAATTTATTGATAATAGAACCTTGTCTAAAGTTCCTCCAGGCTGATAAAAGTAAGTTGTAATTGTTCCTGGACTGTTTTTAGATCCCATTAGTTTTTCTAGGTTTTTACTCACCTATTTAAAGTTAAACTTCTGCTATTCTTGCACATTTCTATCTTAAAGGGCAGCATTATTTAGTAGTAATTTAAAGAGGGGCACCCTTGCATTAGGAAGAATCACTGAAGTCTTGAGGTTGAAATTACCGTGGACTGAAAGCTGCCAGGACGGAGGCTTCGCCGGATGCTGGCGTGGCGTCTAATCAGGATCTCTCTGGGCTGGCTGTCATTGGGCAGAGCGTGCTTACTTGTGAATGCCACAGTCTGTATACATAAACAACAGAAAAATAAGACATTATTCACATTGGTGTGCTAAATATGAAGATCTTCATAACATTTTGCTAAGCTTGGCTACTGTGGACATTTGCAGAAATCTGTTTCCAGCCTCATTCTCTGGAGAAAATCATGACTTGGTTAAATAGACCACTAAAGGGGTTTAAGGGGGGAAACAACAATCTTTAAAGCTCAGATTACCAGACCAAAACTGACCACACCTGTCTGAGCAACAAGGGCCACTATCTGTGTTTGCTCTTTGCAAACTGCCATTAAATGATCCTCGGATGCTGCAGAACAACCATTTCCATCAATAAGAAACAAACCCGCTGTGAAACAGAAAAGCTCCTATACTGTACATATGACTTTATTATTAAATCAAAATCAATGTTTTTATTACATCTCAAAGTTTGAGGCTAGTAGATGATATATCCATATAGAATTATGTTTGTGACAAGCGGAGTTTAGCTAATGTACAGGACATAGAGAAAAAGCAACCATAACATTACTGTCAATATGTAAAAATAAAACATGTGAGTGGACAACATGCCAGCTGGTTATAAAGGCACATGATTCCTGTTTGCCTGCACAGCAAAGAGTCTTTTAAGAGCTGATGTCATTGTCCCTGGTGGAAAAGTACTGCTGGCGACATGCTGCCGTTATGCAAAACAAGACCGGGTTTCAGTGTTTAGAGCTTTCATGTTTCACCATCACTTTCTGAATGTGTCTGAGGAAGTTCCTCTTCACTGGGTCAGATCTGGATTATTAAAGAAGAACCTTTGTTGTCTACAGACAGAGTTAAAACTTCCTGTTTTAGAAACGGCATTCCTGGTTGACTCCTTCTGCCTGACTCACACTTTTAAAGACCTAAGAGTGATGTTGAAGTTTCTGTCAATAAAGATCCAGCTACTGTGATAAATGTTAGACTTGCTACAGATATGATTTATGGCATTCTATAGGTCATATAATCCATGCTAAAATAACTAAAACTGTCATGCTGTATTTTAATGCAGAACCTGGTTTTGAATACTTTCCAGCAGTGACATATTTATTTGCGTCACTGGCCAAAAACAAATGTAATGTTAACATTTTAAAATCAATAGCTAATATCATTTTCTTTAGCTATTAAATTGGAAATAAACTTCCCCTTATATGCATTTGTCGTACTCCATCATTCCTCCTGCATGATGTGTCATATCTACTCTCTTATTTGAAATAAATCAATGAAATAAATCGATGTCTGTATTTATAGAAAGAGTACACAAGAAACCCAGTAATACAAAAAAAAAAAAAAAAAATGTACAGTATTTCATGATAAAATTATGATTCTACATTGAAAGATATGCTTATGAATGCTTGAGTCTGTTTAAATAAATAACTGGTATCAATTCTAAATAATGCAAAAGCAGTGCTGTAATGCGTTTTCCTTTAAAAAAAACTGAAACAAATTGTTTAGCTTACCCGCTGCCGGATCTTGTACATATTTTTGGACAGAATTTTATGCATGTTTTTAAGGTCCTCAGTCATTAAACTCATCTTCTGTTTAGAAGATTCCTTCTGCTCCTCCCTAAATTCCAAAAAGAGATATTAAGACAAAGTTTTTTGTTACTCGTTGGTCTATACATACAATTAGAAGGTACGGTTTATCATCAAAGGTTCATACTGGAGGGAGATGACGGACGGAGCAGCGCTGATTTCTCCAGACACCGTGTCCAGGACCTCTATGGCATTCTGCAGCTCCAGCTTCTTGTACAGCGCGACGATACTGGATTCCGCCCTGGCGTCTCGAATAAGTATCCGACGAAGTATTCGGTTGTTGAACCTCATGAACCTGAATTTGAGATAACAGACCCACTGTTATTAGAGTATATGTTGTTTTTTATAAAACAAATTCTCTGTTCACAGAGCTATGGATGAAAAAAAATGTCCAAACCAACCTTTTATATTAGGGCTTTCATGGTTTTGAGATTTATTTTGTCAAGATTTGCACATGTGGACTGATGTCCTGCCAGTTCTGCTTCGTAACATAGTTAAAACTCAGTAGGATTTTATGGATGGAATCTACACACATTTATTTTATAGCCCCAGTACAGATTCCTAGTTGGGAGTCGTGTCTGGGCTTTGACTAGACCCAACAAAGGACAATGTATGAGTCATAAGCCACTCTGTTGTAGCTTTAGAATGGCACATTCAATGTCTTCATCCAGCCTGAAGATTAGCCTCTGTTTAACACCATTTGTCTTTCTTCCCAATCCTTGCTGAAGAAGTCATCACAGCATAATGCTGCTCCCACCATGTTTCACCCTGGGATCAATGTGTTCAATAATGTGTAATAGCTTCTGCCTAATATGGACTTAAAATGCATTAAATATGCTCTCATCTCAATACAATTACTTTGTCCACATGTTTTTGTAAACTGCAAGCAACATTTTTATTAGGTTATTCCTTCCCATCAACAGGTCGTTGTCTTGCCTGTCTCTATACGCATTGGAAAAGCTAAATTTGAAGTCATCTCGTCGACAGATTTTTCAACACCAGCCGTGTTCTTTACAGCTCTTGGTAAGTTGCTCTTTGAAGCTCATGCTATTGATATTCTCTTTGTGAAGCTTCTCAGGTTGAGGTGGTACTGGATTTTAGAGGCCTCCCATTCACAGAACTTTTAATCATTTTATTTTCTTTGTATGCAGCCATTTCCTCCACTATTTTCAGCTGGCTCATTATAATATCAGACATTGTTGTTTGATCATAGCTCCAAAGTAGCGCTGTTGGCAAAAGGCCCTGTGTTTGAATATTAGCCTTTGGTCTTTCTGCATGTTTTCCCTGTTCATGCACCTTACCAGGTACCCCTGCTGTACTCCATAGTCCAAAAGAAAAAAAATGAGCGAGGATGGGTTGTGTGTTGCTGTGTTATGTTTGTCATATGTGCTGCTCTGTGACAAACTGGTAATCTTTAAAGTGTGTACCCTTAAATTCACCTAACGTCAGCTAGATATGAGCACCAGCCCCCCTATGGTTATAGCAATGATGGATGTATAGTATATGGAGGCCAGTTAAAGGACATAAACACATAGATTTAACTGCTCATTGCAAAAAGGAGAAGAAGGAGAAGAGGAAAGAGTTATAAACGAAAATCAGATATGAAATTAAGTGAGGATTCAAAAATATAACCAATTCATGTCAAATTAACTCTCTTTTTAAGGCAGACTGAATCATCCTCATTTACTGCTGAGGCATAGCACCACTTTTTTGTATACAAATATAAAAAATTAATAATAAAGAAACAGGACACGTTGTAATAACTTGCAATGCTTAATAATAACTAAACAAAAAGATGAGGTATGAAAAGTTTGTTATCCACCCTTAATTTTCCAGATTAACAGACGATAACAAATGTAGCGGCTGACTGCAGGCACTAAATATGACACCAACACCTGATCAACGGTCAACATCCCGTCACATTTCCAATATAAACAAGCTTTAAAATCTCTCAAAGATCCTTTTTCTTCAGACCAGAAATGTAAAAACACTCACTTGTCCTTCCAATAGAAATGACTCCACTGCCCACAGAGATCCTCTATTCCTGCCATCGTGTGCTCCATGACCTGAAAGGTACGGGGCAGAGAGTCTAAGCACTTCCCGGTCAACACGCACTGTACATAATATGAATAAAGGTCTGCAACATACCCTGCAGTGGATCTCTACATTGATGGTGTCCACATTGCGGTTGGTTCTGCGTACATTGATGAACTCAATCAGCGGTCGAATACTGATTCCCTGCAAGATTTCAAAAAGTGAGGCTGCCAATTACTGCCATCTCTTCTAAATTACTTTTTAAATCTAAACTGGAAGGCAGAGTCTTTATTGCAGCGTAAAGCAAATCTTTGGTTGTACAAAGGAAACATTAACAACTTTTTAATATTGTGTCTATGGTTCAAAATGCTATGAAAAACCTACAATAAAAAAAAACTGCCAGCTCTATCATAGAGTGACCCTACTGTACACTTGTTGCTGGTCAGCTGACTTAAAGAAGTCCGGTTTGATTTTATTGCGGAATTTTGTGGAAACTAGATGAGCAACACCAATCACTTTGATTAAGGCAACATTTTGAGGCAACAACTGATAAACTATGGGAATATTTTATCTACAGCTCCACCCGACTAATCAACACCGATCAACTCATTAAGTGTTTAGACTTCCAGCGTTACACTGAAAGAAGAGCAGCAAAAAGCCTGCATAATGAGCTCTTAAACTGGTAGCGCTTAATTAAGTAGCTGTTTATGCTACATTTCAGGTCTATACATAGAAATCAGAATAAAAAAATCACACTTTTTTTTTTTTTAATACTATGTTATGCCAGCAGAAGAATTAAAACATTTTTTTCTACTTTTCTGTTTTAAAAAAAGTAGGGTGAGACCATGTAAAACATTTTTGAAGTGGCTTATAAATGGCCTTATATTTCAATATGTTTTACACGGAGAATTTACAATCAAACATTAAATCTAAACACATCATTTCTGAATAGTTCTAGTTCAACAGGGTGCTACTAGGTGATAAATGACTAGGATGGTTTAGAGAGAGATTCAAACCCAGTATGACAAAAACAAATCTTCAACCATGCCACTAAATATTGATAAGGCACATAATTTAAAACAACAGAGGAAAAAAAACATGATACAAATTATCAAATTTTATTCCTATCTTTTTTGTAAAACATTAAAGAAAAAAGCCATGTCTAAAACTCTCAAGGCATCAAATTAAGATGTGTCTGGAAATGTCAACAAAATCATAAATTACATGCTGTTAATTGATTTTGACTCTCTCCATCCTTGAATAATCAAGCACCAAACCATCTGTACCATATCCATAGACTTGAAAGTCTTACCTGAAGAAACACTGTGAAGAGAATAATTGCGATAGTGGCAGTGACAAATAGCTGCTTTCGGCCAATGTTTTCAGGAAGTGTGAAGGCCAGAGCGAACGAAATGGCACCCCGCAGTCCTCCGTAGGCCAAACCGAACTGATCCTTCATGTTGAAGGAGATTGTTCGGAAAGGGTTAATGATCTGAGTCAGCACCAAAATGCCTGGAGAGTACAGGGAAAATGTTAGCTGCAGCTAAAGATACCAAAAATAAAGATTTTGGGTTATAGTTTTAATCAGGCCAATAAAAAGGGCTTAAAACTGGCACTTAAATTCATAGCAGGACACTTTTAGCCTCTATTTGGATGATATTGAAACCTGTAAAGGAAACTTTTAACCTAGTTTTTTTTTTTTTTTATTAAGAAAATAAGCAACCAAGAATTTGAAATAATCCTTGGAAGTCTCTGTAGCTGATGGCAGACAGAAAAAATGTTTTATTGCTGCGCAAGGTCATCTGTAATTAAACAGGAAAGTAATCCAGATTACCTCAATGTAAAATACCACTAATGGCTGCTAAATTACTTTTTCCCCCCCGTCAGTGCGACTTAAACATTTTAAGGTAAATATTAAATGCAATTCCTCTTAAATAGACCTCAATCTGATTCATGTCCTCTTCCTGTCAGCTTACCCAGACCTCTCCATAAAAAGGCAAACAGCAGCGTAAAGAGGATGTAGCCCCAGTTCCACTCATGCTCGGTCGTTATGGTGACGACGCCCAGGAAGAAGAAGATCAGGGTCTCTGAAATGGAGCCAAGCATCTTGACCAAATGTCGGATGGTTGTACAAGAACGCTGGGAAACATTCTCCTCGACGTAATACTTCATGGTGAGGGCACAGCAAACAATGCTGCATGAACAAACACACAAAGAAGTTTAGGTTAAACTGTTTAAAATTTTAGTGTTTTATTATATAACCTTTTTTAAAGCTACTCACGCCATGATGGAGGAGATGGCAAAGAGTTCGGCCACCAGATAGGCCAGGTAGCTGTACATGAAGATGAAGAGGGGCTCTATTTCTCTGACCTTGGAAGTGAATCTGGTCGTGAAGGCGGCCACAAAACCAAAAAGGATGCCGAAACCCATCCCCCCAAGGCCTACCACGAAGAACCTCCCCACTCCCAAGAACACGTCTACAGGTTGCACGGTTGGCATCTCTGCCACAAAGGTGAACATGTTGTACAGCACCTGAAAATCGTCAAATATGTTATTTACATACAAACATTACATTTCTAAGGCATTCTGGCATGACTGTAACCTGTGGGTACATTATTGAGCTCTCGTCTTACACAGGCTCTGGTATAGGACATGAGAAATCAGCTCAAGGAAGTTAATAACCAAATCAAACTTTTACTGGGGTTATAAATAGATACCACCATAATAAAGCTCTGTCACACTGTCAAGTTACTTCATTCCCATTACAAATTCTTAATATTCTTGAAAAAGAAAAAAAAAAGTTGGAGGGTTTGCCTGAAAATATTGCAAACTTAACAGTTTCTTCATCACATATTAAATAATTTGTATAGTCCGGTCAGGTTAGATGCGTGCATTATTATTGTATTTCATTCCAAAAAAAGATTAAAAAAAACAATCCAGGAATGACTATGACCTGGATGACTGGGAATCTTCACCATCAAGAAGTTAGTAGCGCAAATCAACTTCTTAGAAATACAAAAAGATTTTTTATTTCTCACAATTTCCTGTATGCCCTGCATAGAATTTGCACAGCATTGCATGTCACCCTGGTTTATTCTATTACATTGCAAAAGAAAGTGCCAAATTATACCGCCAACTTCCACATTGTTTTAAGGATTTATCAGGTAAGATTCATAAATATATTAACAAATCAAATAATTGACATGTGCCACAGTGGGCCCATGTTCTAAATGATTTTCTGACAGGATTATAAGTTAAAAATCATATGTGGGAATGTATATGTGTGGTGTATTATCGCCACTGTTCTCAGTCTGCTGTTCAGATTTGCATAATGTACAATAGGCAAAACATAAAACATAAACTCAAAGCAAGATTACCATCCCTTTTAAAAGATGAGTCCTAATAGTTGGTAGTATGCAAGTCCTTGAAGAACCTTATTTGTGACACCACTCCTGTTTTTAACCAATAAATGCCTGTCAAATCTTGTTAAAGCTGCTGTATGGGTGTTCAACTCCAGAGCTTTTCTAATAACTCTGCATAATGTTTGTTCTCTAAACTTATGCTACCGTATTCCAAACAAACTGCTCACTATTGTCGGTGCAAAGGGATCTGGTATACAGGAGTGGGTTAGGAGAGTGTTTGGGTAGAAAATGAAGAGAATGGGAAGGGAGATAAGCTCCTCTTTGTCATGTAACAGACAGTGTGTACCATGTGTCGCTGCCAAACGAACATGAAACTGTGACCTCAGAAACAGGTTTGGCAGCATCTGAGCAAACAGAATCTAAAAGCGACAGACATGGGTTTTTTTTATCTATGGACACATTTGTTTCATTTCTCAAACATCCTCTTTGTTCTGTTCTTCCTACGTTTATCTGGGATCAAAAGTTTCTTCCTCATGCATCATGTTCTCATGAGTTTACCCTAACCCCAAAAATGTAATGAATGAAAGAAGTGTTAAAAAAAGATGAAACCTGAGTCAAACCTTTTGAGTGCAGAAGAATAGAAAAACTTGCTCACAATAGTAGATGTGCTTTAACGGTTTCGAATGTCACAAAGTGTGAAGCTGTGACAATGGAGAATTAAATCCTCTGATATAAGAAATAAACATTCCCAAGTGACTAAAATGCACCAAAAAAATAGCAGTGTTTGTGTTGACTGAACTGCAAGGCATAATGTGCATTTGTAAAGAAAAATCCTACCTCAATTCAAACGTTTGTTTTCATAACAAACAGTGAGCTAGCGCTATCCAGCAAGTTTCACATAATATAGTAAAGAAACAAGAGCTTCTACTCACAACAGTGACAGCATCGTTGAAGAGACACTCTCCAAACACCACAATATAGAGCTGCTCGTTTACAGAAACATCCTCAAACACATTGAGAACCGCCACAGGGTCCACGGCCGAGATGATGGCTGCAAACAGCAGGTTCTCCTGAAGGCTGATGTCCTGCACGTTGAAAGCCTCGATCTGGCAGATGGCGTACAGGGACATGCCGATGCCGATGCTGTTCCACAGGGTCCCCACCACAGCAAACCACAACACCTGCAAAAAAGGAGGCGGATATGTGATTGCATGTATGCCAGCGCAGCAGGGGATGTGGTTGGGTTTACTACTCACTGTCCCAATGTTTTCAAAGAAAGGTCTGGTGGGCATGAAGTAGCCCGAGTCAAGAACAATAGGAGGAAGCATGTATAGGAAGAAGACATTGCTGGTGAGAACAGCTGGGGGTGTCTCGTGGACTGAGTGCATGATGGCTCCAACTATCAGACCAATGCTTATAAGAAGGCAAGACTCCGGCACCCAGATGGTGATCTTGTGGTAAACATGAAAACCTGAAACAAAAGAGGAGAGGGATCTGTGTGTAGTGTAAAAACTGGAGCCCTTTCAGCACCAGATCCCCATGAGCTGGAAAATCATGGAACAGGTTGTTTTTGAAAATAAAATAAAAAATAAGCTCAAATAGACTCATTTGACAGAGTGATATAGTTCAATGCTTTATTTCTGTTTATTTGTGATTTTTGTGGAATTTGGCAATGAAAACAGATAATTTTCTCTGAATCATATATTACTTAAGGTTAGTTAAGGAAAACAGAAAATTATATTAATGGAAGACTCTTGTAACAGACAGACATAGAAACCTTTAGAGTCGCTAAAAAGGTAAAGTGCTGTATCTAAACTATATTTAGGAAAAGTGGGTGGAATGAAAAACTGTGGGAAATAAAACTGCACATAGACAGTGGTTGTTGTAGCCTGAGAAGGTCTAAAGTCATTTTCTTACAGCAATATCAAAGCCCAAGAAAGCCTGGAGGCAGGTAAGGAGATACAGAATGCAAGGTGCTTTATTACTAGTGTGTCTTCACAGTTAGTAAAGAGTTGAGGTTTCATGTCTACATGTTTCCCTCTACTTTCAAGTTTTGTTTTTTTTTTGGTGATGCTGATTTTAATCAGACAGCAAGGCCTGGTTTCTTCCCACACCACTAGAAATTCCAACCTTTGCTGATTTTCTCATGGTAGAGCCAAATCCGCCCACAGTAATAGTAATTATTCAAGCAAAAGGTTTCCAGAGGCCGTTTTTTTTTTTTTTTTTTTTTGCAGCATATACTGAGCAGAATGATATTTTTATTTAGAGAGAATGGATGGATTTCTTTTCTTTTTTTTTTGTACAAGTTTATTAGTACTCACCAATTTTTGCGAATGAAGCAAGCAGCATCCATAAGGTGATTTCAAACGGGATCTGTATTCTTGTATAGTCCATAGTGAACACAGGTAAATTTGGATATTCATCCTCTGGATAAGCCTGCGGCTCATCAGGCTGAACCGGAGGCAGAATCGTGACCCCTGCTGTGGGTTTCGGTGGGATCTCTCCTCTGGAACCATTAGGAAGACTAAAACATATGCAGACAATAAGAGAAAAAAGCGCTCCTTTAGTGCGTCTGTAATCCATGGTGTGCTAAAGACGCAGTTCCTATGCGCCACTATGAAAATGTGACCGACGCGCAACTACTCCATCGTTAGTTCACGAAAAAAAATATAAAATCTATTTACAGAAAAGACACCGTTTCTTTTAAAAACAGCTCATAGAAATTAAAGTTACAGCAGACTCTGAGATCAAAATTTTCTGATATTCCAGAGATGAACAAGAAAAAAGAGAGTCATTAAGTCTCCTTCAGTTTGCGGGACTGCACACCTGTGTCTCACCTGAGTCAAAAAAGAGTTCCGCTACTGACTGGGTGCGGCCGCGAGCTGCGCTCTGATTGGATAGTTCAGGACCTGGAGCAGGTAAAGTTGGTGCAGATCTGTTTCTGCACCAAACGAAGAAGTTTCGGTGTTTACACGCTTAGAAAAAGCAAAACCACGGCTACTGAACAAAAAACAGTGCAGTCTCAATAAAAATAAAGACATAAAAAAATCGAACCATGTTAAAAATTGTGGTTTAATTTTATTTCAAGTGAGCTTAAGAGGAAATACCTAAAACTTATTCCATTATGTTTTCAGTCAGCTAATTAAATTCTTCCTTTGTTTTTGTTTTTTTTGTTTGTTTTGTTTTGTTTTTTAAAGATCATTAGCTGCATCTCCAAATTGCTTTTTTTTCAATAATATATTGTTTTCTTTTATTTCTTCATTACAGTAAATTTTGCAGTGTTATAGTAACAATTTAAAAGTTAAATTTCACACCAATCTGAGTGCAATCTGGCCCCACTCTAAATTAGTGTTTAATTAACTCTCTACATTAGAGGTCTTCAACAGGGGGTCCGTGACCCCTAGAGGCTCCACGGAGGTGCTGCATGGGGGTCGTGAAAGTTTTAGTGGATTAAACTTTTTTTTTTATATTCCCCCATGATATTTTTCCACTAATTGAAATGTCTTTAAATGCACATTAACATGAATTGAACACACTGTAGTAAACAGATAAATGGAGGCAGAAGATGTCTTCCAATCATCAATGCACACATTCAGTTACACACAGGAGCTCTTTCAAGCTGGGCACCGTTTCATTCACAACACCTGTCCCATCAACCAGAAATCAGAATCAGAACAAATTTAATAATCCCAGGGCCAAATTACTTTTGTTACATTACTCCATTCGTAATAGAGTGACTATAGGACCCAATATATATAATTAGGGGGTCCCCGCTCCATCTCACCATTAGATTGGGGTCCTTGGCCTGGAAAACGTTGAACACCCCTGCTCTACATAGCGTATATCTTACTCCAGTTGTTGTTCTAATAACTCTGAAAGAGTCAGTGTACTTTGACGTTGCATATTTAACACTGTGGAATTTAATTCCCTCAAAAACATTGGATGAATAATTTGACCTACACCTATTGAATGTTTGGTCTCTTGACCCCTGTAAAGACTCCAAATAATGTGAACAGATGCTTTTATTGTTGACAATTAAAAGCTATGTACCACACATCTCATAATTTGCTTATGCTTAGATTATTTATCATTAAGGCTCCCTAAGTATTTTCATATTATTTGCCTCCACATTCATACACCTCAACCACTTCCAGATCTGGTCAGCACACGCTCGTTTTATAGCAGAATATTATAGTATTTAATCAAAATCATACCGTGGTCTTTGGGGATTTTTATACAAACATTATACAAAGATCTCTTTCTATCATCTTGATGTCAAAAGTTGTATTTTCTGTAATGTCTTCAACTAAATGTAGCAAAAAAATTGTCATCAATTCTGATGTAAAAAAAAAAAAAATCCTATTTGTTTTTCTTAAAATCTTATCTCTTGGCAATAAATCATGTAAAAGTCTCCACAGTTCAGACTGTTATTATTATTAAAATCTAGAAAAAGCATGTAACCATCTGGAACCTGTTTGGATTGTTTCACTTCAAAATACAAGAAGAAAAGTTACATATTTAAAATATAGAAAGCTCACCTTTTAAAATTGTATTTATAATAGCCAGAAAAGCATTTTCTATATTTTCAATTAAAACTCTGAGATATTTGGTTCAAACATGAGCACTCTGAGTTGATTATAAAAGAGTAACAGAAATGGACAATGTAGTTGTAACCACTGATAAATATTGATTTTATCTAATCATATTATAACTGCCTTCCAGAATGAAGTTAAAACCAATCATCTTAACTTATTTATATGTTAACATGTCTATATAACTGATTGCCAGTATTCAAAATCAAAACTCTGATGCTTAATGAAATTTAAGTCAGTTAAAATGTTTTTAAATATCTTTAAATATTGTATCAGAGTTAGTTATTATGCATTTTTATGTATCTATTGTAGATGGGGGCCTCTAGGACCGAAAATTGGTCCTTGCACCTGTTAAGGCTCCTGTACTGAAAACATAAACTGTTAAAATTTAAATATAGGTAATTTTGTTCGTAAAAGAGGCATATATTACTTTGATTTAAGGGGGTAAGTGGGATGGACTTAGATTATTTATGTTAAAAAAACAACTATTTTCTTCTTTCAGGTTCATCATTTTGAATTATCCTCCTTCCTTTCACATATAATCCTATTTACCTGCTGAAATTAACAGAAAATAAATTGATTCTAATAAGATTTTACTTTTGCCGTTCATTTTTTTGTTTAATAACCAGTTTTTCATGATGATATTCACTGACAGTAGAGACAGTAATCGAGTTATCCCTTAGACCAATTTCATATTTCTCCTATATAATTTATTGAAATATTCATTTTAAAAACTACAGAAATTACAGGTCTGTAACTCCTAATGGGATAAACTAAACAAATGCCCTCCTGCTCTATGCACCCATGAAACAAAAAACGTATATTAATATTTTTTTTTTTTATTATTCATTCTGATAAGTAAGAGATATATCTTAGACAGATCAGCAAATTTGAACGTGAAAAAAATGTGTTTAAGGATTAACAAAGGGTGAAAAACATACTTAAAGTTTTTACCAGGCTCTCATTGTCAAATGTTTGCCTTTAAACAAGGACAACAGCGCCCCCCAGTGGACGTAGCGAGCCTCGCTTCCATCCTGTCATCTGGATGTGTCAGAGGGAGTCAGGGCGAGTCTTGACTGCAGGCATCGTCATTGCAACCAGGATGCGCATCAGTGTGACAAGTAGCCTTCATCGATGCACTGAAGGTAAGATCGATTGCTGTTTTATTTGATGTATTTATATGTTTATAGTTTCGGGTGTTTGTTCTCAGAGAAAGATGATCTCATGACGCGGCGGCGCTGTCTGCTTGATCCCTATGAGGCGTGTTTACAGCCATCACAAGAAGCACAAATAGTCGATGGGTTCGTAATATTAGAGCTGCTTTAACTGGAATTGATCAAAGTGTTGGTTTTAATCCTGCAGCCATATGCGCAGTAGCACCAGTGGATAATATGACGCAATGTTTGTTATTGTGCGTGAATAAATATAGACATTAAGCATGATGACTAATGCTGCCATAAAATAAATACTATATTCTGGTGGATTTTTTTTTATGTATGCACATAAAATCAGCACATAGAACAATAGTCATGTTTTGGCTCTAAAAACAGGTTATTATTATTTATGCAGGAAATGTAACCACCTACATTTAATAGGAGAGTTATTATGTGCTGCTTTGTAAGGCAACGTGTCACCCTCCTGTAGGCCTTTTCATTGCTGCTTAAAGCGTTAACAATAAAACATATCAGCAGGTTGAATTTATCAATTTCTTCTTTTTTATCTGTTTAAAATAAACTAATAGTGACATTCAGTTTCTTACCTTCAATAAGCCTCTTCTTTTTCATTAAAAAACTAATTTATTTTCTTTTATATACATGTTTATTTATTCATTATAGTATCCAATCATTGTATCCATAATCATACATGGATACATATTTTTTAATAATAATTATTAATATAAATACTAATTGTTCCTATAGCCTCCCTTTGTTTTTCTTAATAATTGTTTTCTCCTCTACAGTTCTTTGAATCTTCTCCTCATCTCTGTGTCCATTTTTTTAGTGGTCAGTGAGACATTTTTTACACATTCATTCAGATTAGATGTTCATGGACTGCAGAAGTTGCTCCGGTCAGCACCAAATTAAATCCTTAAATCAATAAACTGTGGAGAGAGAGAGGGAAAATAAAACAGACCTACAGAGTGATACAGAAAAGGGAAGACTGTGGTGCCAGAATGAAGACACAGGTGATGACAGAGCAGAAGAGCCATTTGAAGCAGACTGAGAAGGTCTGAGGAGCTGCAGTGCATTTGCTGCTGACAGCATCTGCAGGCAGCCCAACAAACTGGGTCACTTTTGTTTCCAGACCATCTCTGGGGGCCACCTAGAGCTCTGTCTTGCTTTTCTGCTACAGTTATCCATAAATTTTTACATACAGTCATATTTGACATCAAATCTATTTATGTATTTTTCCTAACAACTTAAACCTCAACCACACCGACCCACAAACTTCTATCATTATCCTGCAGCTATAAATATGATTTTCACACATGTTCCACCATTTTTCAGTTCTCCTTTTCATTATGAGGCAATGTTTTCTAGATACTAGATTTAAATCCATCAATATCTAGTTGGAAGGCCAAGCTGCTTTTAGGTTTTAACTTTCTGATTTGACCTGTCACCCTCAGATCTCAGGAAAATGGTAACCATGTGCAGGAGTATTTAAAGCTTGAGCCTGTGATGAACTAGAACATAGTGGAGCTGTAGGGTAGATGTTCATAGTTAAACCAAGAGGGTGCAGTGTAAATTTTACAGTGTTAAAGTAAAACTTTAAGAGTGCATTTGGTCCAACTCGGAACTAGTGTTACATTAAAACTCTATGTAGTGTATATTTTACTCCAGTTGTTGTTGTAATAACTCTAAAAGAGTCAGACTCTGCATATTTAACACTGTGGAATTTACTGTATGAAAACCATGCAAGGAGCCCCTTCTCAAAGATTAACACCTTTCAGGATGAAGAGTGTGAGGTTGTAGAAGCATCATGCTGAGGATCTGTCATTCTATCAGTCATAAGTTAGACGGAATATAGAGACAGTACAGAGGTTTTGGGGGGAAAAATGTACATATTTTTTACATACTAAAGAAAACAGCATATTGTAACGTATTCAACTCTTCTTTGTAATCAATAAGAACATTTGTTTTCTTGTGTCTGCTAATATCAGATGCTTTTTTTTAAATACTCACTGGATTTTTGTGTGTCTCAATCAGAATTTGAATAATTCCCATTTGGTGGAGATGGGTCAAATTGAATGGT